ATGTATAATTTAATATAAAGTTTCGACAATGTATGTTATACATGAATGGATCTGAACATACGAAAGTCTCTGCTTTGTATGCTTATAGGAATTTTAAGTATTATTTTATATATGGTGCTTTTCTTTCTCTTCCTCTGATTACTCATATTAGACTCATAGGATTGCATAACCGAATAAGTTTGCTGTATGTTACTTTTACGAAATCCTGAATCGGTGAGCCTGTTATATTGCGGAACGATAACGTTTCGCAATCTTCCCCTTTTACGAAAGATATCACCACTCTTTCTGACTTTTCCTTTTGACCTATCTGTAAATTCCTTTCTATTCTTAACTCCTTTTTTTCTTCTTCGAAATTCCTTTTTAATCTTAACACCAATTTTTCTTCTTCGAAATTCCTTTTTCACGAATGCTTGTTTCTTATTTTTCTTGCCTTTGTTCATAGGCAAACCATTTAATTTGCATGTAACCTTTTTTGATCCATGCGAAAATTTGCCATAACTGTTTCTAGTTATTATGCTATTATTTCTTACAACTATGTCGGACCCTTGTGTTAAGTTGCGTTGCAAATTGGGTTCCGTATACAATTGAATCGGTGCTTCTAACAAAGGCTTAGACAATACTAAGCTGCTATTTAAGTTTTTATTCTTCTTATAAGAAATGGACTGAGACAAACTTTCTTTTTCTTCTGTTTCTTGCTTGTCTTGGCATTTCATGCTTTTGATACCCACGTTAACACGATGTGATTTATCTTCTCCACTCACTTCACTTTGATGATCTGTACTATGGCGTAGAGTCTCTCCTACCCCGGAGATGATGCTATGTTGCTCCTTGCTGTAGTCAGTTAACGACTGTGCTACGTTTTCTGCCAATTTGGATAATTCTCCGCCTTGATAAGTATCTGCATGTATACTGTGATTAACACTAAGACCTATCGGGGTCCGGTACCGGGTGGGCTCTTTGGAGTCCACTCCGAGACTGGCTGCCACTGCTTCCGCCAATGCCACTATCGATGTTTCCTGCTGCACATCAGTGGTTTTCTGTATTGGCATCTGCTGTATACTGTGATTGTTACCACTTTCTGCTAAACCTTCCACCATTGCCGAAAACGAAGAATTTTTCTTATCCGATTTATATTGAAATGATTGTTCTCCTTGCGTAGAATTACAATTTAAATTTGCATTTCCTTGACCTTGTATATCGAAATGCGTTGACAGCGAATTTTTGCTGATGCTAAAATTTGGTGAAGGTCGCTGTTGTTTTGCAATTGAATCTTTCCAGGTTTGATTATTACCTGTTTCCAAGGCATATAAAAAAAATTCTGAATTATGTGAATAAAGTACCGGTGAATCCATATGCGTTTTTAATTTGAGATATATCTCTCTCTTTTGGCGCCTACATATAGCTTGCTTCTCGTAATATATATTTTCATACTCCGAGTAGGATCCGCCATGATCAACAAGTATGTCGATATGGGTTTTAAAAATTAAATCCCATTGCCACTTTATTTCTTCTAGCGCTCCTTCAAGTTCATCTTTGTCGGATTCGGAGTATACATTTGATAGTTCAAAAATCTTATCAAGCGACCTAAATAAATATGCTTGTTTGCGAAGCAACTCTTCGGTTTTTCTTGAATGCCTGATGGTTTTCAGACCGTCGGTAAACGAAGCTTGGAATAAATTCTCCATAATGCTTAATATAATAATTAACTAAACGCTTTGTAAATATTGCATTATAAATTCTTAAATGCTTATACTTGATAAAATGCTCAATGAATGCTTCAGATCATTCTTAGTAAAATTATGATCACAAATGAGATAATTCTCAGGAATATAGTGCTCAAAACAAATGGAAAGGACTTACTGTAGATGCCTCCGTATGTTGAAGATTGACGTCCGTTGCCTTCTTCTAGGTTGAAAGGACGCTGATATACTTTTTGACCGCTGTGGGTCCTTGAAAATATTGGGAGCGGACTCACTGTCGCTTGCCTCCCTATCTGACCGCTGTGGGTCCTTGAAAGTGCTGGGAGCGGACTCACTGTCGCTTGCCTCCCTATTTGACCGCTGTGGGTCCTTAAAAATGCTGGGAGTGGACTTCCTGCCGCCTGCCTCCCTATTTGACCGCTATGGGTCCTTAAAAATGCTGGGAGTGGACTTCCTGTCGCATGCCTCCCTATTTGACCGCTATGGGTCCTTAAAAATGCTGGGAGTAGACTTCCTGTCGCCTGCCTCCCTATTTGACCGCTATGGGTCCTTGAAAATATTGGGAGCGGACTCACTGTCGCTTGCCTCCCTATCTGACCGCTATGGGTCCTTGAGAATGCTGGGAGTAGACTTCCTGTCGCCTGCCTCCCTATTTGACCGCTATGGGTCCTTAAAAATGCTGGGAGTGGACTTCCTGCCGCCTGCCTCCCTATTTGACCGCTATGGGTCCTTAAAAATGCTGGGAGTGGACTTCCTGTCGCATGCCTCCCTATTTGACCGCTATGGGTCCTTAAAAATGCTGGGAGTGGACTTCCTGTCGCCAGCCTCCCTATTTGACCGCTATGGATCCTCCTTCTCCTTGCTCTCCTCTTTTCTATTGATGCGGATGATATTTTCTTACTTGCTTGACGACCCAACAAACCAGCAGTGGGATGTTTTTCCACGGCGCCGATCTTCAGGATGACGGAGAAAAACGCGAACGCGATCAACTGTACGCGAAAGACCCGCTATTCCCGGATAGCTCGAAGGACCAAAATGTACGGTTCCTGGATCATCAGGGGTTCGAAATAATAGAATAATTTTAACTTACTCTATATTTATTACTCGCGTTATACAATAGAATATGAGCGAAATAATAAATATTATGTTAATTGCTATATACAGGGTGGCCAAAAAGTCGTGGATCAAACGCAAATAGGGGATAGATGAGGTCATCAGCGGCAAAAAATTGTTCTACGGGAGGTCTCTAAGGTCAACCCCTGCAGAGTTATGATTTATTTTGCATTTTATAAGAAAATTGACTTTTTTTTACTAATTCTTATTAAAATTCGATAAAATCTACATCCTGTATATTTTTCATAATATCCACTAGATTGGTGCTGATGAGTTCTTGCTTAACACATACTATTTATAGTTGTTTATTGAGTGTATTGAAGATAATATTAAGTTATACGATATAATTTTTTTTCAAATCAAAACTTTTTGTTTACTTCAGACCCCTCTGTGAAAAAAAATTACTCTACCGAAAAGTGACCCTGTATATCAAGTTTTGGCGCATTTCATAGGGATTCTGAAAAGGTATTACACATGGCCATGAGTCGCTCTAATATCTTTCTAGGACGAAAAAACAACAACGATTCGGACTTATGATAGATTATTTACCTACATGGGACCAGTACTGTGTGAATCGGACTAGATTCAAAAAATTAGACAGATGGCTGGAGGGTTACGTAGGAATTTGATTAGACGGTGCAGATTAAGTATTATGGTCAGAGTCAGGAATTTTGAGCATATTTTATTGTAAAATATTTTGTTTCATACAAACAACCATTGAGAAATAATTGTTTTAATACAATTATTATTTCAAAATCTTTGTTTGTAATTCTTCCTAGAAAGATATTAGAGCGACTCATGGCCACGTGTAATACCTTTTCAGAATCCCTATTAAATGCGCCAAAACTTGTAGTACAGGGACACTTTTCGGTGGAGTAATTTTTTTTCACAGTGGGGTCCAAAGTAAAGAAAAATTTATGATTTGAAAAAATGTTATATCGTATCACTTAATATTATCTTGAATACACTCAATAAACAACTATAAATAGTCGAACGCAAGAACTCATCAGTACCAATTTAGTGGATATTATGAGAAAGATACAGGATGTAGATTTTATCGAATTTTAATAAGAATTAGTAAAAAAAAAGTCAATTTTCTTATAAAACGCAAAATAAATCATAACTCTGCAGGGGTTGACCTTAGAGACCTCCCGTAGAACAATTTTTTTGCCGCTGATGACCTCATCTATCCCCTATTTGCGTTTGATCCACGACTTTTTGGCCACCCTGTATAAGTGCAATCTAACGAACAGAGAGAGTGCCGACGTCTGGCTATGCTCCCGGGGTGAAACTCCCTTTGTATTGTTAATTGTAATGATACGAATGACTGCTGTAACAGTCGAAGAGAGTGCCTGCGTCGGGCTATACTCTCGGGGCGTGACTCCGACGATTTAGGAAATCGTCATGCTTATAAGTGATCAAACTGTACAGCCAGGGCACGTACATACATAGGAAATTGTTATGCTTGTAGATGATCGGAATGTACGAGCCCTGGCACGTACTTACATAGGGAATAATAATTAAGCTTATAAAACTAAGGAAGCCTGAGCGAGTAAAATGTACAGCCTTGGCTCGTACAGTACTTCTGTTTGAAAAAAATGTCTACCAAAGACATACACAGTGACCAAGTGGAAACATTGGGGGACTCTGCTCCTCCATATTCCACAGTTGCGCGCTGGACAAAGGAGTTCAAGCTGGGTAGAACGGTTCAAGCGGGTTTAAGGTTAGACGGTACATTGACACTTAATAAATTTTCAAATAATATTTATCTATTTTAACACGAAATCATAAATACACAATAAAATATAATGTAGTCTATATATTTAGAAAAAAACTGGCTCTTACCATGACCTAGCTCTTTTTTACGTGGTGTTTTGTTGTTTGTTATTTGTTTTTAAGTTTGTTTGTGACTTTAAAGTGAATATGCCTAGAACGAATACTGTTCTGACAGAATCTGTCAAATAAATGATTCTGACATTAACCTTCAACGCCAAAAAACTGTTGACATCCCTGATTCCACCAGGCACCACATTTCATGTAAGTTGCTGAGTTTGGTAACCAACGGTTTCGAATTTTTTATTTAGTACTTTTGAAATTTGATTCCTTAACTAAATGTAGGTAGGACATTACTCCTTTGATTGTTTTATTAAAGTGTAAACTTTAAATAAAAATTTATTGGCTTTTTAAATGCTATGGAGGGTTGTAAATCTTCAACGACAATTTTTACGATGTGAGTTGTGGACTAAACGTAAATTGTATTTTCAAAAAATGCCTTTCTACGCTGTTGCCAAAGGCCGGACTTCTGGAATATTTATGGAATGGAGTGATTGTGAAGCTCAAGTTAAGGGCTTTCCTGGTGCAAGATATAAAAAGTTCAATACAGTTGTCGAGGCCCAAGATTTCATTACAACTAACAAAACAGTGAGTGGACCGGGAAAGGAGATACCTCCTAAAAAGCAAAAATCTCGTTCATCTCTGCCCAGTAAAAACGATATTAATCTGAAAAGAAATTATTCAACTTCTTCCAAAGCCCACGATACTGTTCCAAAGAAGAAACTGAAAGAAAAAGCGAAAACAGATGGTTTCAGTTCTGATGACGATTTTATTGACTTGAACACAATAGTTGTAAAACAATTAGATGACATAGAGGAAAGACTAAAAGGAGTTACTAATCGTGTAGATAAAATCTTTGAAAAGAATACTAAAAAGGTAGGAAAGAAGACTAAGTTAATTCAACCGCAGGACCTTGGATCGGATTTTAAAGTGGATGATGAGGGGTTTGTTCAAGTTTATACAGATGGAGCATGTTCATCAAATGGCCGTTCAGGTGCTCGAGCTGGTCTTGGTGTGTACTGGGGTGATGGCCATAGTCTGAATGTAAGTCAGCCAGTGTCTGGGCGAGCTACTAACAACTGTGGTGAAATTCAAGCAGCCACAAAAGCTATCAAGCAGGCCATCGATAATGGGGTTGACAAGTTGGCTATTAATACAGACTCCAAGTTTCTAATTAATTCTGCTACCAAGTGGATGCCAGGTTAGTTTGCTTATATTATAAATAAATATAATACATACATTCTTAAATTTATAATAAGGCCTAAGAGTTAAACTGGGCTTTATGTAAAAGCTACAGCAGAAAATAAAATTATCTAATCAATATTTTTATCACAAGTAACAATTAAATAATCTTTTGAATCCTGACAATAATTCTAAATAAAAAGTTATATTTGTTAGTTGATAAATTAAATTTTCATATTATAATTTTCTACACACAATAAACACAATGTTACAAAGTAATATGACAAATTCTGGCAATGTATTTGTAGGATGTTGATACTTGACAATTCACAAATCCTGTTTCAGGTTGGAAAAGAAAAGGATGGAAACTACAGTCAGGAGAACCAGTGAAGAATGAATTAGACTTTAAGGATCTTGATAGTGTCCAGAAAAAGATTAATATTAAATGGAATTATGTAGAAGCCCATAAAGGGATTCATGGCAACGAGATGGCTGATCAACTTGCTAAAGCTGGTGCCTCCCGCTATGGAAACTCAACATGAATGAGTAGTTCCTAAGTAGATTTGATTAGATAAAATTTATAAGAAAGTTTATTTAATATTAAAACCATGTTGTTGTGTCAAATGAATGTTACTTTTGATTTTTACGTAGCCTTTAACTTTGTTAAAAGTTTAGGTTATCCTCTACACATTTCAACTTCTTTATTTTTTGTCTAAATTCTACTGTCTATACTTTTTAAATATCTGTTTTTACTATGATTGCTATTTGTTTAGGAAATTTATATTTAAGGTTTGCCTAGAATGCATTTGTTAAGTGGTGCTTATAAAAATGGGTATCACCTTTATTACTATTAATGGCTGTGTTAGGTAGGAAAGGTAATGTTTTTTTTGTCCATGTCATATCTGCCTATACACTACCTAAAGATGGATTAATAATCATTGGCTGTAGTATTATCAGATTACTTCATGTCTAATGTTGCCTGTAACATCAAAATTTAAAATTGTACTAGACTTGGACTTATTTATCTATGTACCATAAAGGCTAGAATTTAATGTTACTGTATCAAATAGTTATTTATTTTTCTATAATTAGTTGATAAGTTTAATTATAATTAAAATGACTCTTTTGCCCATTAATAGTTTGATAATTACTAAATGTTAAAGGCTGTAAAAATGTTTTAAATAAATTTTATTTTCTATATTTACTCTTTTATTTACCCAATGAGAAATGTGATTACTGTCTCACACAGCAGTGCAAGCCTAGTGGTTTGCGCCTGGAACTCATCAGTGGTCCAATACCAACGGTCTTTCATTTTCTATTGGAAAAATGACAACTTAAGAAATACCTAAGGCCTAAGCTATAGAAGCCTCAACTTACATAAGAAATATTTTTTTTTATCTCAAATGAAATAATAGCGTTTTTCGTCCTCATAATTATTATGTATAACTTTTCTAATACATTTCTTGAATATTATTTTTGTAACCTGTCCATAGCATAGGCTAGGCTGACTTTATAGTTAGCCAGGACTTATTCACAACAGACCTAGTGAATGGCTAAGTGCGGATTTTAGGTCAAGGTGTATTTCAAAGGGGAAATAAAAGTACCATCTCAATGTCTTACATTTATTGTAAACATTTTGAAGTTGATTAACTTGTACTAGTATATTGCCATACAATAAGGAGTTCACAATTTTCATGAAATTAAAATCTAAACTTAATTATATTTACAAGATAATATAACAAAAATTTAGATTTTGTAAATATTAAAATTATAATAAAAATAGTTATCCAACCACAATAGGAAATAACCTAAAAATAGCAGTCTTAAACATATAACTACAACTTGAGATTTAATGAACTTCTAGGTACCCACGAACTGTAACTCAGGGCGGATCTTTCTTCTACCTAAAGCGAAACGAAGAGAAGACCAAATATTTTGGAAACTAATATAGTCAATATCTATCCAGTTTTAGTAAAACAACAGATTTGTAAATATCAATGACCCCTGGATCCGGCCTTCTTCAGAACTTCATAAGCCGGATTCCTTACAATAATTGTTGCTATTCGCAGGCTTTCAACAACCTCAAGGGTTGAACACTCAACCAATATTCTTACTGTAATTTAACCTAATTATTCAATTATGTATTACATAATAATTACATTATATACAAGAATTTTACCTGACTATAGATTTGTAACATTTCGGAACTCATGCATTTTCTAACAATTACAAATTTACCTTGCCTGCTACTTTAAAACCACTAATATGGCTACCAAAACTTCTTGGTTGCTGTACATTTTGTATTAAAAAAAACCAAGAGGTACACTTTTGGTTCTGTTAATAACGAAAATTGCCGTAAATTATTATTTTAAAGGCGTATACATTATTGCAAACACATATGTTTAAACAGATTTGTTCTTGTTGTATATTCAGACATTTAATACCTCATTACACACTCGCTAACGCCCAATTACAACTACAAATCGTAATAATTACCAGTCGTATTTATTGTATATAATTATAAAATATTTTGAATAACCCTGGCGCAAGAGTTCATGGCCCTTAGGGGGGTTTGGGAACATGTATACATGAATCTGTAAACTATCAATTTTTAAAAATCAGAAGACCCAAACTCCAAGGGGTCGATGACCCCCATGACCTCTGGACCCGCCCTTGTATTGCCATATTTAAAAATAATAAGGCAACAAATATTTAAGTAGACTGACTTTTTGATTAAAATGTCACCACAAATTAATTTGGACGTAATTTTAACCGACTAAAAGTATGCATTTAATTTAAAAAAACATTACATTTTCTATAAAAAATTGTCTACCTTCATTTGTTAACTTTTCTGTGATATCCACATATGAACGTTTGGGTTCGTAATTACTACGAATCGTTAATAGTTAATATAAAAACCGGCTCTCTTCCCGCCCTCTAATCTAGTGCTTAAAACCTTTATGACCTATGAAGTATGCACGTACTGTATCGTCGGTCGTCTCGGTGTGGAAACCGTGCTGCCCCCACCCACGATCAAATATCCGCCGGAAGTTGTCACTTTTTTCGCTTCCTCATTGCTATGTAACTATAAAAAACCAATTAAATTATAGTGTTAATGAATATTCCAAAGTTATATGTTCGGATCCCGGCTGTACAGTTTTTTTTTAATTATAATTTCAAAGGCCTAAATAATTTAAAAGTACATACTTGCTTTTAAAAGAAAAAAAAGGGTGCGTGTACTTATGTACGCGCGTAATTATACTTCTTTGGCATTATTAAAAATAGTTTTTGATTGCATGCAAATAATTAATTACAATTAAATAATCAAAGACTGGAAAAGGAGTCATTATACTCAATAAAGTTTTTTTTACATTTGAAAAATTAAATAAATAAATATTTATTATTAATCTCTTACAATAAGTGTAACATAAATTCTATTATTATTCGAATGTTGTTTTTAAATTATGTCCAATGCCGTAGCGTCTTCCGTGGGCAACTTCATTCTGTTAATTTTGTGTCACGGAGCGCGCATCGTAAAATTTCACTCTCATCAATTTTTCATAACGCGCCTAAAGAAGTATAACTTCAAAAACATTAAAAACCGAGCCTTAACGTCAAATAAACTTTTCAGTTTTCTCGTATATTCAAACGAAGTACGTGATCATAATATACTAACGTACACAGATGTTACGTTATCCGATTTTTTTTTTAATAGAACAGCGGGCAAACGGGCAGGAGGCTCACCTGATGTTAAGTGATACCGCCGCCCATGGACACTCTCAATGCCAGAGGGCTCGCGAGTGCGTTGCCGGCCTTTTAATCCGAATTCATGTAAGAGCATTTGGGCAATGACTCAAGGAAAATTTTCTATGTAAAACGCTTTCATCACCACAGACAAGCAAAGATACGTAATTTCTACGACAGTTTTTATAATCTATGGCTGCGCTACTGATGGCGCTATCCATTATTGCCAAATTCAGTAACGTTTTTGTTATTTAACTATTTTTTACATATTTTAAAAGGAAATTTACTTTTATGGACTTCATTTTTGAAGTGAAACTTCTTTATCGAGGTTGGAAAAAAATTTTGTGTAACATTTTTTCGTTACGCGTCACATTTTTCGGTTACGCGCCATGTTGCTTTTTGATGTCAAACTTCTTTATCGGCGTTGGAATGAAACTTCTTTATCGACGTATGGGAGAAATTTTGTAGCAAATCGTCACGTTTTTCGAAATTCTAATAATAATCTTCGTAGTAATAAGGTAAAATGAAATATTTGTATTCATGTCTATGATAATAAAAGCCTTTTGTTAAACTTTATCTAATTTAACGAATTTCTGTAAAGTTGCATATAGTAGATCATTTTTCGAAAAATAAGATCTTATTTCTTAGTTTCACTTCTTACGTGTGTACACCTAGTACTCGCACAATTTTTTTTTTGCTTTAAAACTGTACTTTCTAAGACTTTTAATACATGTGTCTTACTAAGACATCATGCAATAATACGATCTAGGCTTACTTAAGACTTATAAAGTGTCCAATAACACTAGACAATATGTTGTAGTGTGCACTAACACTAATTCAATGAAGTGATTAAAATCTTTTAAAAGTACTTAATAAAGTAGTTACCTGTTTATTAATGATGACGGGCGGCGCCTGGGCGTTAGGTTTGTATGTCCCCACACACTTGACAGTTTGATTTCCAGTGCTATCTTCTACCATACTGACTGTAAATTCAATAGTTCAAATATTAAAAAACGTAAATACATGTCGAGAAATGTCCGAGATGAATGGATATCTCAGAAAATACTAAACTGATTTTGATGAAACTTGAATTGAAGTTATAATATTCCTGATGGTTTTTATAACATTTAAACATATATAAATAAATGTTTGTGGTCAATCATTTTATGTAATAAACTCAAAAATGTTATCTATCATCTCTTATTTATTTATATTATTGAAGTCGGTAAAAAATAACAAAATCCCCATTACCAATAAACGTCTCTCAACTTTGAACCAGTTAAACAAAATTATTTTTTAGAAAAATCATTGCAATCTATTTAAAGTAAGGGATTACTAAAAATCATATTTTGTTCAGTATTCAAATACACATAAGTTTTTTTAAATATCATGACTTAAAAAAAAAAAAAAATGTTTTTAACCCCTATCATACCAATATAAAAAAAAATCATACCAATATGATTACTGTTTTAATGCCTTTCTTACGGTAATGTCACACCAATGGCGGTACTGTCAGCTGCCACTGTCATATAGATTGTCAAAGTCAAATCGGTTACATTACTAATGACCTAGCAATATTGGCAAAACTCTAGTTGACTTCGACTTAAACGTTTATTTAAAAGCTCTGTGACATGACAATGACATTGCTCCGACATATAAAACTTCATTTTAATTAAATATAACACAAATGACAACTGACTTGGTGTACCTATAAGCGAAGTCTTCGGCATCTCCTTGGTGTAGACTCGGGTGGGTTTCGATGGGTTTTTGTTTTGCGTCTGGAAATAATGCGATTCAAGTATTTAATAATGGGTTAAACTGTTATTGAGAATAATATGTATAAAACACTTTTAAAGTTTATTAGGTTAAAAGACTTTATTTCTCAAAAAAGACAAAAAATGTCACTTACATGAGAATAATACTCTAGATAACATAACATTGTAGTCGTTCTTAAAATAATCACAATAAAATATAGCCGTACATGCAATAAATTTAAAAATAAAAGTTAACAAAGAAATATGAATTAAAAGTAATTATAAGAAATGAATTTAAAAGTAATTTTGTTTAACATATTCACTTAGCTTTGATTTGAATGAATTAATAGAAGTAATATTTTTTATATCTGTGGGTAGTTTATTATACAGCTGTGCGCTAAATATAAAGTTGTTTTAGATTCATTATGGTTGTGTCTCGATATATATTTATGGTAGGTGCAAGATAATTATACTGGAACAGTATTTTTATAATTTTATTTTGTAATACTTCAATATTTATTAATTTAGTTTTAGCGGCGCTGCCCCATGCTTCAATTAAATAAAGTAGATGTGTTTATTGCCAGTTCTTCTCTTCCATTCTACGCCCTTGATTTGAGAACCGGCAGTAAATTTACATTAAGAAGCATTTAATGTATATTTCTTTTTTGACGTTCATAATTCATACATTGATACCTATATGAATAAATTATTTTTGACTTTTTAAAAATGAATAATAAATGTTGTCGCGCGACAACATTTCTCTCCCCTGTATACGACAAAATATTAACAATTGTTCCATGTGTGTACGAACACGAATTATCCGAGTAATTCGCCAATGTTTCGGGTTTTAGCCAACTACAATACAATTTATGAAGAAGTAGACATTATCACCTCCTTCCAAAGAGGTTAGGAAATATTTTGGGAAGCGAGAAGAATTTGACTTTATTTAGCAGTGGTAACAATTCCTTTTTTCTTTAAAATATTAAGTTGTAAGTTTAATTTCAATTTTCTTTTATAATTATTGTCTAAGCGTTTCATTTTATATATAAATAAAATGGTCACAGATTATTCAAATTGACGATGAAGTAGCATAGAGTCTGGCTAATGAAGATAACGAAAAAGCGCGGCAAATTAAAAAAAAATAGTATGGTATCCCTAAAAGTTTGATAGATTTTGTGGATTAAACTTACTTGATACTTGATTTTTTTTTCATTGATAGTAACTGTATTTCTATGAAATTAAATACTTTACGTATTTAGTATTTTACTATTGATACTTGAAATGACTAGCATTGCATGGAAAACTAACACTATATTTATTATAAAACACAACTTTATTCGGAATAATCAAATCCTTCAAAATAAACGAAATTATGTATCAAATAAAACAAAGTTCAGGCTATTATACCTGTTAATATAGATGAAGAAGAAATAAAAATGAGTAATTGCATGAAGTATCAAGACAATAAATCATACTAACCTAAGAAATTCAATGAAATTCTGTGTTGCCATCCGAAAGTTTTCAAATAATTCAATTATCTTCTTTCATTAGCCAGACTACTTGTATGTCCGCTAATCCTATTAATATTTTGTTTATAGTGAGAACTGTAACTAATTTCTCAGTACATTGTGTTCTCAATCAGACAATACAATTAATACAAAAAATCTTCAGTCAATTTTTTTTTAATGGCTCTGGCACGATTTGTGCATTAGCCAGCGTCAAGTATAGGATTTTTTATAATTCGTGCTTGTCTTTAGAAATTCGACTGCACAACCCTCCCAAAGGCCGAGAACACATTTAAATTAAATTAAAACTTGCCTTCGAACCGGGAATCGAACCCGGTACCCCTCACCTAGCTGCCACTTAATAAGACCGCTAGGCTATGAGACCCCTCTTCAGTCAATTGTCTTTTACAAATATTACATTGGGATATATTTATAGGGTACCCGTGTGTGTGTTTTTGAGTGTATAAGTTTTTTGCCGAGAATTGAACCTTGAATGAAATGAATGAATTTTTAAATATATAATATTTACCAAACGCTCTGGTGCTGGCTGCAATCTCGCATGGATGTCTTTAGAATTGTCAGTTCCATTGCTGTCCTGAAAAAGAGTAATGTTATTTAATAAAACCATTGATAACCATTTGAAATCGGTTAAAAGTTTTAAAATCTGTTATGGTTTTAGTATTATTACGTATCTTTGCAAAAAAATGGGACTTCAAGTAATAATTGTCAGCTATTGACATTACAATAAATTAAGTGAACCGAGTTAGAGTCAGCAAGGAGTATCTATTGTTGAATTCGTTTAGTTTGTACTCTATGGCAATTTACGTACTTTAGTTTCTTGGGACATTTATTTATTTAAAAATGATCATAAAACATAAATAGAGCGTCAAAAGGTATTATAAACGACATTAAATGATACAGCCCATAGACTCTCACACTGCCAGAAGGCTCGCAAGTGCGTTGCCAACCTTTTAAAAATTGCTTGCTTTTGACTTTTTCCATCCTCTGTACCTACTTCGAATGACCCCTTGAAACTTATTTAATAGTCGAATGAGATGTATTTAATTTACCTGCGCCTGAGTGCAAAGCGCTGCGTGCGTGGTCCAATGCGCTCGTTGGCAGGGGTAGTCGCAGTACGAGGTGTTCCAGCAGCAGTAGAACTGGGCCTCTTGGCTGCAGTTGGCGCACCTGGAAATACGAGGCTTCATTATTCTGCAGGTGCTCGGGCATATCCTATATTGCAAGTTTGAAGTCAAAATTAACTACAATCTAAAATTAACGTATGGTCTAAAACATGATTTTACCCAAAAATTTACACAGTAAGTGTTACCTAACGTGGGGCAAAGGGAGATAATTTAACAGTTAAAGGAGACTATTTGATTGTTGGGGGGGGCAATTTGATTGTTAAGGGGCAATTTCATTGTTAAAAAGCAATTCCATTGTTAAAGGGGCAATTTGTTTGTTAAAGGGGCAATTTGTTTGTTAAAGGGCAATTTTATTGTTAATCAATTGGGGGGTAATCGAAATCAGCAGAATATGACACAATATGGACGGAAGCTGAACTGAACCAAATTGAATCCTGATATAAAATCCTTGTCCAGCAAGAGATCTTATTAAATCAAAATAATCTTTTAAGATATAAAAATCTTTATTAAAATTACTTGGAATTTAAATTTCAGTTTTTTATTTTGTTTTGAGAATTTACGTTCTGTGTTTCGTTGACAATGGCCCAGTAATTTCTTAAAACCAATCATTTAAGTTTCTTAAGCTAGGCTTAAAGATAAAAGATATTCAGCCGTAGCGTTTGTTAAAACATTTAATAAACTGGCTTGGAATGGATGCGTTGGGCATTCGTACGATAGTCATTATTTGGTAGAAATAGAAAACATAAAAATATTTCTTTTAAAATTAAATTGCTTAAATCAAAATCACATTATTATTGTCACTACACCATCAAAGTTGTGTTTGAAGAGTTTCGTTTCGAGTTTGAGACTGACAGAAAGTAAAATTCAATTTAAATTAACATTTAAAATGAAACCTTCAAAGTCATTCGCCTAGGTGTTTAATCAAGTGGCTAAAAATCGTTCAGGCCGCTAGATAAACGGCGCCGTTTAGTTAAACGGCTAGGCTGTTAATTGAACGGCTAAAAAAGCTAGTTGGCTGCTACATATAATATGTATTACATCTAAGACGCAAATACTAACGCAAGATGTCGAATTTCGGATTCAACCTGTACTAAAAGAAACAAAGTTTGGAAAATCCAAAAGTGCACGCCTCATAGCGGTCATTTAAAAAAAAAATCTAAAACAAAAACTCAAGTTTTTTAAAACAAAATAACAAATAAATTATTATCTTTAAGTCTCACGCTACGAAGAATATTTAAACATACATATTTAGTGGCGCCATAACTCTAAGGTGAGGAAAAAATATACTAAAATTCGTAATTTAGTTTTTTACAAATTATAATTAAACGACAGTACTTAGAACGCTAATATTAACTAGGAATCAGCCCAGGGTATAACTTTATATAATAAGAAAAAAAGTATTCTGGTACGATAAATTTTTCGACCAATTTCTCTGCCGATAGTAGACCCTCCGCTCCGCTAATGAGGCGTGCAATATTATATCCTGTTTAAATTGAAAATGGACCCCAAATTATATCTTCAACTATTTTCCCAAAAACGACACATACATTTTCATACAATTTTAGTTCAATCGATTCCCCGATGAGTGAAAAAACTGCCAATGGTTGTTAAAAAAATACATAATATTGCTGTAGAATGATAACCTCGTATGTCCAGAGAACCAAAATTACAGGAAACGAAAAAGTGATTTTGTCCATAGTTGTGGATGGTAAAAAGGACTTATTTATCAAGAACATAAATAGGTCCTTACTTCATTAGACCACCAGTTAAATGACACAACAATGAGTCTAAGAATAAAAAAAAGGGTGCGTGTACTTATGTACGCGCGTAAGAAGTTATACTTCTTTGGCATTATTAAAAATAGTTTTTGATTGCATGCAAATAATTAATTACAATTAAATAATCAAAGACTGGAAAAGGAGTCATTATAGTCAATTAAGTTCAGTTTACATTTGAAAAATTAAATAAATAATTATTTATTATTATTCTCTTACATTAAGTGTAACATAAATTCTATTTAGTTAAAAGTATATATAATTATATATTTAGAACATCTCTACCAAACACTAAGAAGTATGTTGTAGCTTTGGCAGTATTGCACAATGAAAATTAATAAATTTCTTTGAAAAATTAATCAAAACTCCTTTATTTGTTTAAAAGGTAAATGACAAATGTCATTATGGTCATTCAAAATTCTTGGCATACGAACTTCACGCATATTCTATTTCTTTTTACTTGTAGATTGTCTTATTCCTATCTCGCTCGCGCACGCTATAATCACACTCCTAATTTTGTGTCACAGGTGCGCGCGCATCGTAAAATTTCACTCTCATAAATTTTTCATAACGCGCCTAAAGAAGTATAACTTCAAAAAATAAATGATTTTCTGACATAAGAGGTTATCATTCTACAGTGACGATAAAACCCTCAATTTTTACTGTTAAGTATTGTAATAATCTTTTAAATGCAAAACAACGCTTCACTTATGAATAACAGTTTCAGAAATGCAAACCCCATTATGGGGTTTGGGGCATAAACTAACCATTGCTTAGACTTGGCGGTTTTAACCGCGGCCTCCATATTGAGGTGCATGGTCCGCCTCTCCTCGTTAACCGCACGATTCTTGTCCCGCTCTAAAGACGTGCGCATCTCCACCATTGCTAATTCTGGAATAGACATCAAGTCATAAGATTTTAATTAACAAATAAAAAATAAGGGTTGGTGATAGAGGGGTGATAATTTAGGGTTGTATGTATTTTTTAATAGCACATTATTAAAAAAAAGGGTGCGTGTACTTATGTACGCGCGTAGGAAGTTATACTTCTTTGGCATTATTAAAAATAGTTTTTGATTGCAAGCAAATAATTAATTACAATTAAATAATCAAAGACTGGAAAAGAAGTCATTATAGTCAATAAAGTTCAGTTTACATTTGAAAAATTAAATAAATAAATATTTATTATTATTCTCTTACATTAAGTGTAACATAAATTATATTATTATTCGAATGTTGTTTTTAAATTATGTCTGTCCGTAGCATCTTCCGTGGGCAACTTCATTCTGTTAATTTTGTGTCACGGTGCGCGCGCATCGTTTAATTTCACTCTCACCAATTCTTCATAATAGTTAGGGAGGCGAATAAGTGAATTTTCTGTAATACTCGAGCGTGGCAGTTTAAGATATGAGTTACCTTAGACCTAATAGAACAACATTGTAAAGTATTTAGCTCTATATGCAGTGACGCGCGCCTAGGATAGACGATCAGATTAGTAAAAAAAATCGATAGTCTGCAATACTCGAGCACGTCAGATTAAGATATTGGGGGTTGATTTTAGTGTTTTAAGACTAAATTTAACTAATCTGACGATATGTCCTCGACGCCGCCGAGTTATAGGGTCGCGAACTTGTAAAAAAAAACGTTATTCCTGCATTCTCGAGCGCGATTTTTTATTTTTTTATTTTGAAGAATATAATCTAAAACTTACTAAAAATACAAAATCTGCCGGTTTCCGCATGACCGGAAGTGTGGAGGAGCCGTTTCGTCTTCCGAAAAACGCGTTGCGGCATATAAGTCGCGAGCGATACATTTTACAAAAACAAGTTTAAATAAACAAAAAAAGGTAATTTATTTTACACAAAAAAGGTCTCTTTACATTTTTGTCCAAAGTTAAATATGCTTTCAGGATACCGAAATAAACCTACCCTATGAAAATCTGACGCGCTCGAGTATTTCAAAAAAACTTTTTTTTTGCATTTTCAAAAATTCATCGTAACTTATCGTCACGCCAAAATCGTCAGTTTTTTTAAAGGGAGCTTCCTTGGGGCCTACTTAACACCCCTTCCGAAAATCTGACGCGCTCGAGTAAATTATTTTTTTGCATTTTTGACTACTTTATATGCCTACCCCCACCACGCAAACCGGCAGATTAGTATACCGTTGTTATAATAGGTACTTGGGGCATACGTAGTATGAATATCTGACGCGCTCGAGAATCCCCAAGTAACTGTTTTTTTTAACATATTAGAAAAAACCGTACACGCCAAACCCACCGCTGAAATGGTTTTTACCATATGAGCTTTTCTTTTTGAAATTATTTTATCTTTCGATTTTGATAGGTCTCGACGGCGCCGTTGGATTACGCCATTTAGCAACCTCGCCTCCCTCAACGCGCCTAAAGAAACTTCAAAAAAATAAAAATTTGGTCAAAAAATAAAATGTTAGGGATGGACAACCCTTATCACTTAGGGGTATGAAAAATAGATAGTAGCCGATTCTCAGACCTACTGATGCATATAAAATTTGATAAAAATCGGTCCAGCCGTTTCGGAGGAGTATGGTAACTAACATTGTGACACGAGAATTTTATACATAAGATGAATCTCTTATAACTTAAAATAAGTAGCATTATACATGACGTCATCTCAAATGAAATTAATAACAGCTCACTTCTGGAAAACTTGCCCTTCCATGTTCCTACCAGACTCGTAATGGTGCTTTGTTCCACGTTCCTCACATCAACATCAACTAAGCAAACTCATTTTTGTAACACGTCCAGACATGCAATGACCACTAAGCCTTGACTTGTTTAAGCTATCGCGGAATATTAAGAGGAGTATTAAGAATATCCATAGCGCTTCACCTGCATCATGAGCACATACACATATACACCCACACTCACACAACACAGTCGTATTTGGTATTACTTTGTATAGGTCGGTTATCGAAAGCTGGCGCATTCACAGTACTCACACTAATGCAATTCCACTATACAGTGTGTTTAAAAATATGACTTTTTTGCCAAGCTATACAATTTAGTCTACTCTGGTTTTAGTAAGGTTGGGTGGGTTGTAAATAAATAAAAATGTGTCAAATACATATAAATATTACGTGCATACGAGGGTGGATCCAAAAGATCTAAGTCCAACCAAGAACGTAAAAGAGTAGTTTGTGTAAATAATTTTTCATTTTTCGACATAAGCTCCATCTAGCTCAACACACTTCACTTTTACTTCACTAACAATTCTTTCAATACTCCTCTTAGAAACCCCAGTCGCATCTGATGTCAAATTAAAAATATTTTTTTTCATTAAACTGTTTTTATTACAATACTTAAAATAATTAAAAACATTTCACGAGATTGTCCTGGTAATGTTTGAAAAAAAAGATCAACATATACAGTAAAGATCAACATAAACAGTAGCAAAAGCAAAACAATAACTGTCTCTTTTATACTCATAAGCTTGACCGAGCGCGAGAGAGACAGACAGTCTTTTCATGATGCATATTCAGTGTTACAAGCACAAAGTGTAAATGTGTTGAAGCCGCCAGCTTTAGATAACATACCAATATATATATGTATTCCATCTTTGACCATATGTTTAGTATAATTTTTTTTTTCTTTTATATAATTTATGTAAGCTGTAGGATTACGAAATAAATATTAATAAACAAATGATATTTATATATTTGTTTGAACAAAAATAAAAAAGTACATGCAAAGTAATTTTATTAATTTATTTCTTCGATATTAAAAATACGTGGCATTTTAATTTTACAACTCGTTCGTGAGATTTCAATAAATTTTTTTGCATGAAATATAAAATACTAATATTTCATAAATTCTATTTACGAAATTTTAATTTTAAAAATAGGTTTCTATAAGGTAATTCACCCTTCTCACTCTCTCTCAATCGGTCTCAATCGCTCTCTCCCTTTTCTTTGACAAAAACGCTGCACATCTTCGTGACGTTCCGTAAAAATTTTACCCTCATGCGCCTAAAGAAGTTTCACTTCAAAAACAGATTTCAAAAGCTTAAGTTAGGTTTTTATTATTAATTTTAATATTTTTATTAGTTAACTCTGCATAACAAATGTTCATAGTAATTCTTGAATACATTCACAGTTTGAAGTTTTGCTTCATCAATACATAAGATATTGCAGCACGCTTGCGGTGCCTGCATTACCGATTTCTGTTCTAAAATAATATCGCCAAAGAACATTACCATGATTATGCTTTAACTCGTCCAGCTCCTGCCTGTGCTTCCACTGCAGCTGCTCGAGCTGCAGCTTTAGTGACGTCACGTGGGCAGCTGGCTCGTTCACCTTCTCCAGAGTCTCCTCCATCAAGTTGCGGAAGAAGTCCGTCAGCTGAAACATACATTATAACCGACTTCATTTCTCTATTTTACCCAAAGTTTTAAAGTGAAACTTTTATTACATCGTCTCAAACTTTTTCGTCTGTGTGTTGCATGTCGCGTGACGGTCGCCCGCGGAGTAGGGATAAAGTGAAAGGCGCTCGTCATAGCAGCCAAGGTCTATTCGTGGATCGCTATATACAGTGTAAATTCCATGTAAATCACTCGGCTTTTCTTGGTTTAGTTTGTCTTCAATACAATGATACACTCTACGTAGTATTACACCCTCAATAACGACAATTAATGACTAAAAAGAACTTTTTAAATTGCCGATATTAGTTAAAAGTGCGGAGCTGTGTACGTTCTTTATCGCTTTATTGTCCTAGCGAGAAATAATCTCGACTGTCGACACCATACGTAATAAACTTTATAAGAAATCCGTTCTTTTGTTTACAAATTGGGATTGCTTTATCACGAACATGCCTCAGTATCGCAAGATATGAATTAAATAAGTAAAAAATACAACCTAAGTACTAGTACAGTACAAAAATAACAGTTTTTAATTGTCTTTACTAGTCTGAAAAAAAATTCTTTTTCTAATACAGATTTTTATTTTTTTTATTTAACGACAACTCTTTGTTCAATATTTTCACAGTCCCTTGAGTGTCGTTATATACAGTTTGCACTGTATTTTACTATATATTTATTTATTTCTTTTATTTTTAATAACCCTCCTGTCGCATAAAAGTCACGCGAACTTCACAATTATAAAACTTTAGACAGAAATTATTTCTCATTCAAGTTTTTGGAAGTAAGAGTTTCTTTACAGAACAGTGGGCAAACGGGCAGGAGGCTCATCTGATGTTAAGTATACCGCCGCCGAAGGACACTCACATTGCCAGAAGGTAAGTGCGTTGCCGGCCTTTTAAGACGTGGTACGCCCTTTTCTTGAAAGACCCTAGGTCAAATTGGTTCGGAAATAATTGTGTAGTGTGTACAAAGGGTACAATTTAATAAATCTTTTTAGTATAAGAGATAAAAAACCGAAAAATCTCATGAGTGCAATTGACACGTGGTAGAAATGAAACCTTTAAAAACATAGTTTTTATTATTAATAACATGTAAATTAGACTTTTCATTTTCAAAAATTTTAATTTATAAGTTTAATATCAATCTTTAATTTGGTAAAAATAAAATAATGAATGCTTGAAATACGATGAAATGAAAAAGCGACAGTAAAAAGAGACAGACACATAAATTCATAAGATTGAACGTGGGAGAAAATGAGATAAAAAAGCATTATACAGTGTTTCATAATGTCCATTGAATCCGGCTTGAAATGACGATTCGAAGAAGTTTCACTTCAAAAAATATAATTTAGACAAACCTTAGAGGCATTTTGGTTGAGCTTCGCAGTGAGAGGTCCCACGGTGGACGGCGCCGGCACCGGCCTGGAGTTGTTCGTGTCGAAGGGGTTCAGCATCGGCTTGTGCTGCAGCCGCGGCAGCTGGAATTCACATTTCTCTGCGTTAGTACTACACCAAAAACACCAGTGGCTCTAACGACCAGTTTACAATGTTAAATAAAGTAAATATTTTTTTATATAGAAGATATAGAAGCGAACGGACAAAGAAAGCTATGGATAGAGATATGGAAAAACCTGGAAAAGACCTTTACCAGTGGAGGGATTTCGATCAACGGTACTAAAAAAAATAAAAATGTAAAATTTAAAGATTGGAAATAAACGGGCTTTAACATTGATTATTTTTATCTATATATACTAGTGGACCCCACAGACGTTGTCCTGCATGATATTTAAAGCGATTAGGATATTAAGCAAAGTATGAAAGTACCGACTGCAGTGCCATCTGCCGGGCTGATTTGTGAATCTAAACCATTCCCAGATCCCCTTGAACACACACAAAAAATTTCATCAAAATCGGTCCAGTCGTTTAGGAGGAGTTCAGTCACATACACACGCACAGAAGAAATATATATATATTAAGATATATATGTATATAAATAGCGTAAAAAATAGCGTATAAGTTAATATAAATCTAATTTTAGTTTAAGCAATAGAAAGGAGAAAAATCTTGTTCCGCTAATTGTTTTGAGCAGTATATATATATATATAAATGAATCCTTATTTCCCTTGGTCACGGCATCACGCATAAACGGCTGCACCGATTTCGCTAATTATTTTTTTGTTGTGTTTTTTATTGTCATGACAAGGTTCTTATGAAAGAAAATTGCGCGAAAATTTAAGAATACTTAACCACCATATAATTCAAACTTTTTTGATGTAACCTGATGGCGTTTGAAAAAACATTGATAGAATGCTTGCTGCAAATATCGTCTAAGAAGATGTAAGAAAAATTAATATCGTTTAAAACACATGCTTCGATCGGAGTTATTATATTAATAAATTATACATCTAATCCCGTGTCGGAATAACAACAAAACAAACAAAGAATGTTGTACATTAAAAAGCATTAGAATACTAAACACTTGTTTCTGAAATTATTTTTAAGTTAATTATACCAATTCAAAATTAATTTTCATAGTTAAGACAGGACAGCGTCCGGTCCGCTATTTATATTTAAATCTAAGAATTAAACTTAAAAAAGTTTCGTTATATAAATTTTACACAATACGTTACCTGTGCGTCGTCTTTCCTCTGTGGGTTGAGTTGGGCCATAGAGCTGACGGGAGTGGGAACGGCCACCAAGGTCCCCGGACGGTCGATTCCGTTCACCGAAGGACCATTTGAGCTCTGAAATGCATTATTATTTCAACTAGTTACAGAATTAGATTACAGTATTAGCAGTGTTGGCCTAGTGACTTCGGCGAGCGACTTTCACTCCTGAAGTCGTGTTCGATCGCCAGCTGTGCACCAATGGACTTTCTATGTGCGCATTTAACATTCGCTCGAACGATGAAGGAAAACATCGCGAGGTAACCGGCTTGCCTTAGACCCAAGTCGACGGCGTGTGTCAGGTTTAGGAGGCTGATCACCTACTTGCCTATTAGATTTAAAAATGATCATGAAACAGATTCAGAAATCTGAGGCCAAGACCTAAAGAGGTTGTAGCGCCACTGATTTATCAATTTTTTTTGTTAGAGAATGGAACTCGTCTGTTTGGGCTCCGCATGAAACTAAAGACTGCCTTATGTTGGAGCGCAAACAGCGCCACTATCCTTAAATGTACCCAAAATTATTTGTCTTAGGGATAGTGGGGTACAATAAATTGGAAACCAGACGAGACTTTTGGCCAGGGACAGTTGGCTAATATACTAAAAGTCTTGCGGCGTAGTGTCCCACCCAATGGTGCTCCAAGAACTCGGTTTCTTTGGCTAAGGTTGTTTGCGATATCAAGGCAAAAGTTCTCCACCGAAAAAGGGACAAATTTGACCCATTTGAGGGCAATAAAAAATAAAATGCCACCTATTTTTTATATTTTACCTACAAAAAGGTTAAATCTAAATATTTACTAACTCAAGCGACCTAATACCAAAATAACAAATATTTCAACATCACGAACAATATATCGATTTATTTTATTTTATTATTTAGCCGGCATCACTGTCTACTAATTCCAGGTTTAGTAAACCTTTTAAAAAAAAAAATATGTTATCTTTACTTGTGCGTTTTTTACTGTTTGTGATGAAAAAGGACATAATTATCACTCGCCGTTAAACCACTTTTAATGTGGACCACTGCACTTAACAAAATGGATATATTCACCAACAAATCTCGTGTCACAATGTTTGTCCTCAATGGACTCCTAAACTACCGAACCGATATAAATCAAATTTGCACACCATGTGCAGTTCGATCCAACTTGAGAGATAGGATAGTGTAAATCTCAAATTATAGTCGCAATTTTAATTTATTGCAAAATATTTGTTTATTATTTGATACAATTCTAACAGATGGCGCTGTGTTAAAATTATCAACGTTTCACATAAGCTGTCATCTACCTTTCACATAAGTTCTCCCACCGTTTCCCTTGAATAGTTTACTACTATGTAATATAACAAAAATCTTAGCCAGAGCAACGCTTGGCCGAGTCTACTAGTAAAATATATGTACCTATAGACTCAGATGTTCAGACTCGTATTGGATTGAAAAATGTGCCCGGCCAAAAAGGTTTGCCATCTCTGACATGTGAAAAAATGATAGCTGTCAGAATTCTACGGAATTAAAAATCAGAGTATAAGTATATATACATTACAATATGTAAGATTTGGGAACCCTTTTAAGTAAAAAACCTGGGTCAGGGGCAAAAAAAACCCTTCTAAAAAGTATAAAAATACTCACATCGACTCCCCCAACAGACATGACGGGTTGGAGGCTGAACGCCCACTGGCCGTTGACCGAGGTGATGAGCGGGACCGTGTGCACGTTGGGGCCTTGGGACATACTGGCCATGTTGGACACCACGCCCATGCTGATCGAGGTGGGCGTGATCTGAGACACGGTCGCCGAGGTCGTCGGAGTTAGAGGGCTCGTTGTTGTTGGGGTGGCTGAAATTTGAGAGAATTGGCTTTTTAACCGACTTCAAATAGGTGATCCTGTTGAAATTGAATATCTCGGAAAATTCAAATCAAAATATTTTAATAACAAATGATTTTGGAAAAAATTAAAAAATAAATAAATACGAGGCTTTAAATCTTTAATTAAAAAAAATAACCCTTTTCACATTATCTACACATCTATATTAACACCAATTCGACTTAGGGTCCTTCAAGAAAAGAGCGTACCAATTCTTAAAAGGCCGGCAACGTACTTGAGAGGCTTCTGGCAATGTGAGTGTCCATGGACTTAACATCAGATGAGCCTCCTGCCCGTTTTACATAAAAAACGCCTTTCCCCGAAGGTGTAGACTGAGACCGCGTTTCCGCACTTACGGTCTACCTCCTGCTTCATCCAACTTAATGGTCTTCTCTAGACCTGGATTTGCTCCAGGCCCGACTTCACCATCCACGGTGGTCTTGTATATTTGTATATATTTGTCGCAGATGACCCAGAAAACATTTTGCACGGCAGTGTCGGACTACCGAATTTGTCGGATTATAGAGTATAGGTCTGTTATCTAAAGCTGGCGGCTTCAACACATTTACACTTTGTGCTTGCGTAGTGTCTGTGAATAAGCGGGAGGCGTGACGTCACACTGAATATGTCCGTCTCTCTCGCGCTCGGTCAAGCTTATGAGTATAAAAGAGACAGTTATTGTTTTGCTTTTGCTACTGCTTATGTTGATCTTTTCTCATTATTATTTTGTCTGTGATTGTTTACTTGGTTGGAGGTTAGAATACTTTGAAAAAAAATGTCTTATGAAATATATTCCGTCTAAACATTACCAGGGCAATCTCGTAAAATGGTGCACAATGTTTTTAATTATTTTAAGCATCGTAATAAAAACAGTTTAATGAAAGAATTGTACGATAAAACAAACAATAAAAAAACATACTGTATAGTGAAATTGCATTAGTGTGAGTACTGTGAACGCGCCAGCTTTCGATAACCGACCATTACTGCCTAAAATTCCCTATAGTCCGGATTTCTCTTACAAAAGAGTACCTTGTAATCCGACAAATGCACATACAATTCTATGTTTTATTTTTGTACTCTGAAGTACAAATCATACTTATGTATGTTAAATTAAAAAAAATATTCAATAATAAATAATAGACCGTGTGCCAGCTTACCGGGGGTCTACTGTTTAACTACTAAACCGATTTTGATGAAACTTGAAGAGTTCCCAACAAACACTCCTAATTTCGAAGTTGTCAAATCAAATTTGGACTCACCAACACTAGCAGAAACCTGAACTTGGACTCCATTAGTGACAGGTCTGTTGGGTCTCACCGGCGCCTGACCGCTCGCCGGCTGAATCGGAATATATACCATCGAATTCTTGCTGTTCAACTCGGATCCTTCCGGTTTCTTCGCTTGCGGAAACGTCTTCTTCGCTTTCACGCGAATTTCCGGTTTTTTCCTATTAATCGGCGTGACGACCAACTTATTAATTCGCACCTCGCGTAATTTCGTCGCCGGCGGATTCACGGGCTGCAATCGGAAGGAGTTCATCACCTCCAACTTTTCCATTTGCCGATCGGTGTCGAAGTCCATCGGCTCCGGTTTAATTTCGATGTCCGAACTCGGGGCGTTCTCCGTCTGCATCCGGGCGAAGGCTCTGACCCCGACCCTGCCGACCGGGGGCTCCGACTCTCGGGTCTTCGCCGATATGTCGCTGTCCTTCGCAGTCTCCGCGCTCGTGAGAACGCTTGCGTTGGAATTGGCGTCCACGGACACCTCGATCAGGCTCGGCTGCGACTGCTGTTCCGAAAGACTTCGGACCGAGGTGATGGTGGGCATTCCGGTCTTGGAGACCTCCCGGGCCAGCACGGCCAGGGTGGTGTCGTCGTCGAAGCGCAGGCGCTCCTTCGACGGCTTGAACTTCTCCAGACTCTTGTTCAAATTCTTATTGATCATGTTTTTGCTTATCAGAATCTCCACGTCCGTGCTTTTTGTAACTTTTTTGACTTTGGGTCTCGATGTTTTATCTTTATCGGCGCTCACGTTGTTGATGATAAGAGATTTCCCTCTCGAGAGTCTCTTCTCTTTCCTCTCTTCTGTTTTCTCCGCACTCTTTTCGATCGTTCTTCTCGGTTTGTCCGTTTTGTCCTTCGCTTTGACTATAGGTTTCGGAGTTTTGGGGGAGTTGACGGAAACGACTATTTCCTTAGTGGTACTATTGGGTACTTCTTTATTTTCGTCTTTCTGCTTGATTTTTTCTTTCTTTTTCTCTTCTACCTTTTCCGATTTATTTTCCTCTCCCTTTGCTTTGTCTTCGATGACTTTTTTTGTTTTGTCCGTTTGTTTTTCTGGCTGTTTGGGTGTGGTCGCCTCTTTTTCAATGCGCCTACGTTTCTCTTTAGTACTATCTGTTACTATGACATAATCCTCTGCTTCAGATCGACGTCGTTTTCTCGAAACTTTTTTTTCTTTATCTTTTTTTTCATCAAGGTCCATAGGAATCTCTCTGTAAATATAATTAGCAGAATGAGTAAATTATATATAAGCTGTGAAAACTCAACTAAAGCGTACGAGTGGGGTATACTGGACTGAACTGGTTTTCAGGCTATAAAAGCACGGCGCGTGGTGTGGCGCTCTCACTTCTTCGCCGCTCGCACTAGATCATGTAGACGTTACTTATAGTTATTGTTGTTGAATTTGTGGTTATGTGTTGTTTATTAATTAATAGAAATTGTGTGGTTAATTTCGTGTAATCTAATTAGTTTTTTTAGTAATTTTATTTGTTAATTTCTTACTATATTATATACAATTATTTACTAAAATATGAGATAAAAGCTTACACTTCAACCGTATCAGGATTATTCTCTTCCGTTGATTCAGTGACTTTTGGAGGTGAATCTTGCATTACTTCATTATCACTGGCATCACTGAAAATCAATTAAAAACATTTAAATACATGATTTATTTCTCAATAGTCCTTTTTTTACTTAATTTCAATGTTTTATTAATAAATTTCGCACTGATACGATTTTGTTAAGTAATATTACATGAAGGATATTTCTTTTGGCAAAATCCTATTAATTTACACTAAATTAAATGCAATGCAGTGTTCGCCTAATGATTTTTTATCTGAAGACGTAACTTCGAACCCTATGTGCGCATTTAAGACTCGCTAGTAGGTAAGGCCCAGAAGGCTGATCACCTATTTACCAATGATCACGAAACAAATAAAAACAGGATGTAGCGTAAATTTAAATTTAGCGTTATTAAAAGTAAAAAAATATATAATTTTTTACTTTCTATATACACTAGCTGACCCGGCTAACGTCGTTTTGCCATGTATATTATTTCTAGGAAACATTTTTTAGGTCAATAAAAGTAACTATTTACAATAATAAAAATTGGGTATGTATTTTTGTATGCTGTACCATAAAAACATAAAAAACAAATAATTTTGTCTAAAAAATAAAAAATAAATTTTGGGGCACCCCTTATCACTTAAGGGTTTGAAGGATAGATATTAGCCGATTCTCAGACTTACTGAATATGCATAAAAATTTTCATAAGAATCGGTCGAGCCGTTTCGGAAAAGTATGGTAACTAACATTGTGACACGAGATTTATATAATACTAGCTAACCCGGCTAACGTCGTTTTGCCATGTATATTATTTCTAGGAACCATTTTTTCGTTCAATAGAAATAACCATCTACTATAATAAAAAATAGGGGTTAATCGTAGAGGTGATAATTAAGGGTTGAATGTATTTTTATATACTGTATCAAAAAAAAAAAATAGGGATGGTCCCCACCCTTAACATTTAGGAGGACGAAAAATAGATGTTGTCCGATTCTCATATTTCTCTCGACTTACTGAATATGCATAAAATAATCATAAGAATCGGTCGAGCCGTTTCGGAGGAGTATGAGAACGAACATTGTGACTCGAGAATTTTATATATTAGATATAAAATCTCGTGTCACAATGTTAGTAGACATAAATTTTTTGACTAATAAATAACTTTTTTTACGAAATAAATTTCGTAAGTTTGCTATACACAAATTCAAATTCAAAATTATTCACGTATAAATCATACCACGTAGAATATTTCTTTAGCAAAAAACACAAAACAAAACTTAATAATTAAAATAACACTATTTTAAGTAATCTCAATCTAGTGATTTCAGCCTGATCTCATCCCTGAGACCGGGCGCCGAGGGCTTTTCTACGTGCTCATATTTTTTGCTCGTACGTGCGGGAATAGGGCTTGGACCCAATCTACGAGTATCGGGCAATAAAGGCTGATCACCTGCTTGCCTATTAAGAAACATATAGAAACCTGAGCCCTAGACCTAAAAGGTTGTAGAGCCATTGTTTTTTTAAAAGTAAATATATAATAGCAGCAGAAGCAGTGTTGGCCTAGTGGCTTCAGAATGCGACTCTCGTCCCTGAGGTCGAAGGTTCGATCCCCGCCTGTGCACCAATGGACTTTTTTTCTATGTGCGCATTTAACATTCGCTCAAACGGTGTAGGAAATCATAAAAACAAACAAACAACAAAAAGTCAACGGCGTGCGTCAGACACAGAAGGCAGATCACCTACTTGCCTATTAGATTACCAAATGATCATGAAACAGATACAGAAATCTGAGGCCCAGACCTAAAAAGGTTGTATCGCGTTATTGATTCAAATATATAAAAACTTAACAGTAAAAAAAATATAATTTCGTACTATCTTTTTCAGACTTTTTGTAATTTTTCACACCATAGACAACCAAATTAATAATAATAAATAAACTCACCCATCGACAACAGAGCTTTTAGAGTTCGACCGTCTCTTTTCCTTTATTTTCGGAGACGCCGTTCCACATTTATCTTTGATTTGAAATCGCAATTCTCCTTCGAAACTCGGAATCTGTAAAATGCAGTTATCTAATTGTATTTAAGAATTGAGAGTCTTTCAACTGTGAGGACGGCTATGCACCATTCGACTGGCTGATGATGGATTTAACACCGGTGAAGAACATCGTGAGGATCACCTGCTAGGCTATTAAAGAAATTAAACATACACCTAATGCTATGACATCTCGCACCGGCTCTAGTATTATGGACTCTACTGGCCCAAGAAGATCTAACTCAAACTCAAAATATCTTTATTCATGTAGGTAACACTTATGCATTGTCAGAAAGTTAAAAAAAAATAAAAATTGTGCGTGTACTAGGTGTACACACGTAAGAAGTGAAACTAAGAAATAAGATCTTATTTTTCGAAAAATGATCTACTATATGCAACTTTACAGAAATTCGTTAAATTAGATAAAGTTTAACAATAGGCTTTCATCATCATAGACATGAATACAAATATTTCATTTTACCTTATTACTACGAAGATTATTATAGAATTTCATTAATTGTAATAGAATTATTACTATCATTGAAAAACGTGACGATTTGCTACAAAATTTCTCCCATACGTCGATAAAGAAGTTTCATTCCAACGCCGATAAAGAAGTTTGACATCAAAAAGCAACATGGCACCGAAAAATGTGACGCGTAACGAAAAAATGTTACACTAAATTTTTTTCCAACCCCGATAAAGAAGTTTCACTTCAATTAATTGTAAATTTACATTTACTACCAGTTCGCAAGTCAAGGGCGTAGAGCGGGTAAGAAGAACTGGCAAAAAACTTTCCGCCACTCTTTTTAATCGCCAAGTATTGTCATACAAATTTTTTGAACTGGAGCAAATCAATCCCAAGGATTAGGATCATTTAAGTATTCGTCAAATTTATAAAAAGCTTTATTAATTAATTTACGTTTGACGAGAGTTTTGAATTTATTCAGTGGTCATTCTCTAATTTCGCTTGGGAGTTTGTTGTAAAAACGAATACAATTTCCATATAAGGAGTGGTTTATCTTTTGGAGCCTGGTTGGTCGTACACTCAAATTAGTTCGTTCGTTTTTTGTACGTACAACAAGGCTTCAAGAATGTATTGACCAGATAGTGTCATAATATTTAATTCCTTAAACTTATTCCGTACCGACTCCCTCGGAGAAACCTAACAAATACCCCGAACAGCCCGCTTCTGCAGCACAAATATGGATTGAACCTCTGCCTTAACGAGCACTTTGGGAGCGCTGCCAAGAAACCCCGATTAGCCAGAAAAACGAGCGATGCAAGTGGGAATAGATAGACTATTAATTTTACAATGCAATGTTCGAAGTAAGGATTCTTGTGTATTGTTAAAAAAACATGTTTGCGTACTTATGTAGTTATACTTCTTTGGCGTAACAAGATAAAAATCATTTTAATTTTTTTATCTTTCGCCTTATTCTACGTTTGTAGAAAAACGACACTAACAATAGAAAAAAAGGTATTTAATACATTGAAAGTTTTATTATAACGCATTGTCTAGTTAAATAAATATCACAAAATAAAATGTTGACTATAGCTAACTTAACTTCAGAGTGTCGGTTTTTTTGTGACGGTGTGCGCGCATCGTAAAACTCTCATCATTTTTCCCTAACGCGCCAAAAGAAGTATAACTTAAAAAAAAATGGATGTATATAAAGTCGTTTAGTTAATAATTAATACTTACCATTAATTTAAACTGTTCGTTAATGTTGGTCGGTTCGAAGGGCGTCTTGAAGGGCGGATAAACAAACTTGCCATATTTGCGCGAAATGTTCCGAATGTACTGCTCAGCCTCCTGCAATATTAAAGATTATTAAGATAATGACACTATATTAAGTTTCCACCCGGGTTCAGTGGGTGACATCAAGCCTTGAAGAGAGAGAGAGAGAGAGAGAGAGAGAGAGAGAGAGAGGGAGGGAGGGAGATTTAGACACTTCTCTGCTGCCTAAGGCCTCCTCAGCCACGGTACTGCCTGATTGGCTACTATGAAGGGATCCTATACAACAATAAATGAATAAAAACCATATATTCATTCAAATAGGCTAGTTTTTTATATAATACGAGGCTCATCTGATGTTAAGTGATACCCATGGGCACTCTCCATTCTAGAGGGCTCGCTAGTGCGTTGCCGGCTTTTAAAGAATTGGTACGCTCTTTTCTTGAATGACTCTCTAAGTGGAATTGGTTCGGAAATACTTCAATTATACAGCAGCTGGTTCCACATAGTGTACGCCAAAAACAGCTTAAAAACGCTCAGTTGTGGAACGACGGACGTCGAGGTGATACGGGTGGAATTTTGTATTATGCCTTTATTATAATATATTGTTATTAACTGCTACAGTAATACCCCGATGAATACCTTATCCACTAAACCGATTTTGATGAAATTTAAATTTTTCACTCGGTTGAATCAATCATATGACTTAGTTTCTGAGAAATGTAAGGAAAACATGTATATTTTTATCAAAATCACTTTAAACCAATAAACAATTTAAATTTAACAAAAAAAAACGTATTTTAAATAAATAATAATCACAAAAACTACGGAACCTATTTTGATGAAACTTGAATGGAAGATAAATATATCTGATTTAAATCAAAATATGACTTCATTGTTTTAATATCATTAATAGCGGCCGTGCCTCCCCCCTTTCTCAGGGTATGTTATCTAAAGCTGGCGGCTTCAACACATTTACACTTTGTGCTTGTGTAGTGTCTGTGAATAACCGCGAGGCGTGATGTAACACTGAATATGCATCATGAAAAGACTGTCTGTCTCTCTCGCGCTCGGTCAAGCTTATGAGTATAAAAGAGACAGTTATTGTTTTGCTTTTGCTACTGTTTATGTAGATCTTTTCTCATTATTATTTTGTCTGTGATTGTTTACTTATTTGGTTGGAGGTTAGAATACTTTGAAAAAAATGTCTTGTGAAATATATTCCGTCTAAACATTATCAGGACAATCTCGTGAAATGGTGTACAATGTTTTTAATTATTTTAAGCATCTTAATAAAAACAGTTTAATGAAAAAATGTCGTAAAATGAAAAATTATTTACACAAACTACTATTTTAGGTTCTTATTCGGGCTTAGAATTTTTGGATCCACCCTCGTATGCACATAATATTTATATGTATTTGACACATTTTTATTTATTTACAACCCACCCAACCTTACTAAAACCAGAGTAGACTAAATTGTATAGCTTGGCAAAAAAGTCATATTTTTAAACATACTGTATAGTGGAATTGCATTAGTGTGAGTACTGTGAACGCGCCAGCTTTCGATAACCGACCCCATACATATTAGTTTACACACCTGCATACTGTCAACAATCTGCTTCTTGGACCGCACGTTGTTGGGGTCCTTCTCGGAGTACAGGAAGCAGTCCTTGGCGGGCACCCAGGCTCGGTCGTGGGCTCCGAAGAACCGCACGTCCACCACGCCGGACCCATTCACGGACATCCCCTTGGCGGGCCAGTAGGGGAAACCTAGAAACGTATATATGTCAGAGATTATGTTATAAAAGAACACGTTGTCATTTGTTTTATTGGAATGGCAACACCACGCAATATCATTGACATTACAGGTTGTAAAATGTCAAAGTCAATTTGTCAGTAAGCTACGGTTTCCTAGAAAGACGGTTGTTAATAACGGCCGTCTTTACGGTGGTCAAGCTGTGTTCTCTAACTATTTGTGTAACTATAAAGTAGTGACCGTATTTTTAAGTGTTATTCCAATTTCGTTCCACAAATTTTGCTTCATCTGAGCTTGTCTGTACTCTTTGGATTTGATATTGTACAAAGCTTCATGATTTTTAACAAAATCAATTAATTTTTCATCATTTTCGCTCGACCAAGTCATTGTATTAATTATACAGTAGAACCTCGATAACGTAAACCTCGGTAACATAAAAACCTCTGTTACTTCAAAAAATACTATGTTCCCTTCCCATCAGAGCCCAAAACCTCTATAACTTAAAATACGCAACCTCTATAACGTAAATAAATAATCTCTGTATAGGCCCTCAGTAACTAAAAGAAATGTTTCCACAACCTCTATAACATAAAATTGTTTGTGAATGAGTCATTTTATAAGAGTGTCAAAACAAATGGTTTCGGTATTTATTGCTTGCACGTGTTTACTAATGTATTGTTAACGTAAACAATACATTACCTATTGTTTGCTTTATCTAAATTCTTCAAAGCTTTGCGGCGGTTAGCTTTGTGACAACGACTTACTTGCATCATAAGTTAATGTGTTAATGTATTCTCCTCTCTATTTGTCATTGAAAATCAAATCGATTATAAACAGTGAATTTTTTAAAACAAAAGAAAATCACAGTTTTTTTTTAAGTAGACTAAACCTTTAGTTGTTGTTTTATTTTTATGTAATGTAAGTAATGTGAATAAATATGATTAAATATTTAATTTTCCATCCTTCTGATGCATTCAAGTAAAAATGGGAGGAAGGGTACATAGAAACATGTACATACCTCTATATTAGCCTTTACCTGACATAAAACCTTGATAACTTAAAACCTCGATAACATAAAATATTTTGTGTTTCCCTTGGACTTTATCTTATCGAGGTTCTACTGTATATGCGCACCGCTACACGCGAAAAACGTTGAACTAATGTTTATCACCGCTATGACGGCCGTCGTGCAAATGACAACATCGCTATTTGACGTTACGGTGACACTCCACGTTCTCTAGAAAACCTACTCCGATGTTATTTATAGACAACGTATGGGTGACGTCACCCAACGTTACATTACGGCCGTTAGTTAACGGCACCGCTTTTCTAGGAAATCGTAGCTGTAGTGCGTAGATCGATCGTTGAGTACTTGAGTAATGAGTTGAGTTTGCTGTCTGATCGGCGCCTGCGCCGGACGTGCGCACTGACTGATTAAATATTAAATAATAATGAAATTTAAATGTGTTGCTGAAATATGAGACAATATTTAGAGTTTGTTATTTTACTTGAAAACAATAAGTTTTATTCCATTTCTTTTATAATCCAAAGCGTTCTAACAAAAAAATCTTCGAATTAAAATTAAATGACAAGCCAAAACTAGCTTCTTTTCCACAGACTAATAAACAAGTTAAATGAAATGGTTCTAAAGTCTCACCCTCTCATACATTTAGTTTACAACAAATTCTTAAAAGGCCGGCAACGCACTATAAAGTCAAAAATCATTTATTAATGTAGGTAACACAATGTACACTTATGAACGACAAAAAAAGAAATCTATTAAATGCATTAAATGCTTCTAATGTTACATTTAGTGCCAGTTCTCAAATCAAGGGTGTAGAACGGAAGAGAAGAACTGGCAATAAACTCTCCATCACTCTTTTTAATCACCAAGTTTGTAAGGCAACCATTACACCATGTTCCACATGACATAAGTAATTAATAATAAAAAAAAGGGTGCGTGTACTTAATATGTACGCGCGTAAGAAGTTATACTTCTTTGGCATTATTAAAAATAGTTTTTGATTGCATGCAAATAATTAATTACAATTAAATAATCAAAGACTGGAATAGGAGTCATTATAGTCAATAAAGTTCAGTTTACATTTGAAAAATTAAATAAATAAATATTTATTATTATTCTCTTACATTAAGTGTAACATAAATTATACTATTATTCGAATGTTGTTTTTAAATTATGTCCATTGCCGTAGCATCTTCCGTGGGCAACTTCATTCTATTAATTTTGTGTCACGGTGCGCGCGCATCGTAAAATTTCACTCTCATCAATTTTTTATAACGCGCCTAAAGAAGTATAACTTCAAAAATAAATTAAAAACAAAGATTTGTCCTCTATCAGGAGTGGCATGTTGAAATAGAAGCACGCACTTACATTCTCTTGGGAACAACACGCAAACACATAGTCGAGCACTCGATAGACATCCAGTGAATACCTTTGAGCTTGGCCCATAGCAGAATGTGCGGTTTGGAGCAGACATCGGTGAACCAGGTGGGCCTCCGGTTGTGGGCGGCCGCGTAACACTCGGGGCAGGCCTCGATCTCGCCCATCTCGCTGCGGCACAACCTCACCAGCGCACGCGCCGCCAGTGTCAGCTTCGATTGCACTGGAAAAATTAAAACTATTCGTCAGAAAAGAACCGGCGTAGATGACAAATTACAGGTGTAAAAACGCCGAAAGTAAGAGAATGAATCGTATTAAAAATAAGAAGAATCCATCGAGTCAAAAGCCTCGTATGCTCTAAAACAGAAGTGGCAATGGGCGGGGTATATAGCAAGATGCACAGATGAAAGGAAAATTCAAGGAAATTAATATACTTACCTTACTCGCAATATATTTATGCAAATATTATGTATGTATACAAAAATAGTGATAAGTTAACTAGAATAGAACATACGCACAATGTTAATACTCGGAACAAACGCAGGCTGAAATTTCTCCGTACTAGACTATCTAAAGTTAGTAATTATTTTTTTGGGAAAAGTGATACTTTTCTTTAATAAAATCCCAGAGACTCTTTTATCTCTGCCTTTCAATAAATTTAAGAAATGTATTAAAGAAAAGCTGTGTAAAAAGGCTTACTATAAAGTTAACGATTATTTAGTTGATAAAAGGGCCTGGGACTAGTGCTAGACAGGCTACTTCTAATCAATTTGCGATATTTGTCTTAAAATAAGTGTTGTTTGAAGATTTGCTATTTTAAAAGAGTACCGAGAGTTTTTTACGCCGGCTTTTTCTCTCGGCCTACACCCTGTCTTATTTGCCGATGAGTAGGGATGCCTACAAATTCAAATTTAATGACGTGGAATAAGTGATACATGTATCTTATGTTCCATAACAAAAAAATTTTTTTTTAAAGGTGAATTTTAAAGACAACTATATGGATAGGACCAAGGGGAAGAAGAAGAAGAGGGCGCCCAAAAGAAAGGCGGATATAAGAAAAAGAAGCGTTAGCAGGAAGCGAATGGAGAAAGAAAGCCATGGATAGAATTATGGAAATGCCTGGAGGAGACCTTTACCTGTGAAGGGGTTCCGATCGACGGTACTGAAGGACGCTTGGATATTAATATAACAAGAAAAAAAATGTATATTTGTTAAAAGATTGATAATAAATTGGGCTTTATTATTATTAGCATATAACAAATCAGTGGCGCTAAAACCTTTTTAGGTCTGTGCCTCAAATTTGTCAATCTAATAGGCAAGTAGGTGATCGGCCTCCTGTACCTAACACACGCCGTCGACTTTGTGAGTCTAAGGCAAGCCTGTTTCCTCACAATATTTCTCTTCACAGCAGGGGATCAAACCTACGACCTCTGGGATGAGAGTCGCACGCTTAACCCACCGGGACAACAGTGTTGTTTATTATTAGCATTCTAAATTTCATCAAGATTGATTTAGTGACGCATTTCTAAATTTCATTTTGAATTTATGTGTAACTTACATGTGTTAAATATAATACTGTTGTGTAGAATCCATTGCGCGTCCGACAAAAAGGCCTCGGGACTTCCGTAAAGTCCGTTCGCAATGTTCCTCTGCATTTGCGATAAGTCCATCGGGTGTACTACACACTTGTCGTAGTCCGGGAACAGGGCTCTATCCACTGGCTGCATAAACGGTTCCACCTGGAATCATTAAAATTTTTTTATTAAATATTCTAGACTATCTTCTCTAACCTTTGGGGCCGTTCAAGTATTACGTAAGCAGATTTACTGCAATTTGTCCCCCCCTCTTGTCAGCAAAAGTGAGTAAAGCTGTCAAAAATAATAGTACATAAACGTATTAATATTTTGTAGGAATCCTCGGAAATGCATTTCGTTTTCAAGAATAGACAATGTGTAGAAAAGTAAATAATTACTGTTGACGTAATCACCAAATAAGAAAATCAAAGACCCAGATTGTGCTTACGTATAACTTGATCGGCCCCTTGTTTGAGCGTGCGATTTCCCTATAGTCGTAAGTTCGAACCCCAGCGGTAAGATGGCACACACTCGCCTATTATAAATGATCACAAAAAGATACAGAAATTTGAGTCCCAGACCTAAAAGGTTACCCTAACTTGACATAAACATATCCTGGATATTTTGTAATGTTATATTATTGTCCATAAATCGAACCCTAGTCTTTGGACTTTATATATTTATTTTTACCAAAATACTAACCATTTTTGAAAATAAAGCGATATAGAAATTAGTTTTAATTTTACGTTGAAATTTATTTTTGTTTAATTTATATAAAATAATATTCGAATTAAACACATATTAAGTAACTTATATCTACAGTGATGAAAGTATATATAGGTATATGTAACTTAAAAATGGTAAAACACATCAGAAAAATTTTGCTTAGTGTAATTTACTATTTTTTGAATAAAATAATTGTAAATTATAAGCTACTTTTAAGTTTTAACTAATATGTATAACGTATTAAAAAATCAATAATATTACCATAGAAAGTAAATATAATATGTATGTCGGAATCTCATTCGTACTAACATATTATGCTGAATTATTTTAAAATGGAAAAGAAAAAAAATGCATATGGGCGAAATTGTATTAATACATTCCACATGACCCGTTATTAGTCCAAGCGAGATAGCAATAGACGCGTCCATATCGATTAACACGCGCGAAAGGGACAGACGCACAAGGTCATCGCCAAACCGACAACGCAGTCACGCGGCGGCCATTTTATTACGTAATTTGGTGCGCAGCAAATTATTGAGAATGATAATTTAGAACAAAATTTTTGATAAAATGTGATCGATTTTATTTTTAGTCTAGGTTTACCTTGTTTTCTTTGAATTGTCAGTTTATTTCATTATAAAACAGTCACAATATACTTGATATGTATACATTAAAAAATATTTCGCAAGGCTTGTTATATAATATATTTGAATTATTTATATTTTTTAAGTATAGCATGTACATTTAATCTATACACGGCTGTGTGTTTAGTGTTACGCCATGACTATCAAACTATTTAATCACCTTCCTAGAAGTTATAGATCACTGTCGTAGTGTTTCAAGGGGAAGGTGATTATTTTTTTAAAGGCAAAGTGCCTTTATAGTGTGGGAGCATTAAACCATACAATTTTGACATTATGATAATTAATTTGACATTTGCATGCCTATTTTTATCCGAATATACCACTTTTTCTTTCCAATAAATTAATTAATATTATTATTTATTATTACAAAAATACATAATGCAGCAATTTTACTAAATTATCAATTTGACATGAGCCTGTTAAGAAGTTAATAAATATTAATAAAATTATAAACACAGTTTAGTTGATAACGCGCAACGCAACCCTACCCTTACTTGGATAAAATTAGAATTCAAAGAAATTCTCATAATAAATTTTTGAAAAAGGCAAGTAAATAAAAACAAAAATTTACCCCATTTAGCTCAATCATACGTGTGAGGGCATGTTGCAAGAGTTCTCCCAAATGGCTCACGGAGACATGCTTCAATGATATTGATCTGAAATCAAATATATTTAAACATAATTTATTTCAATTTTTGTATGAAAGTTAATCAAACATATCACATACAAATGGTATTTGCAATGAGTTTTAAAAATTAATTGATGATTTTCTCTTATGAATGTTTGGTTACACAGAAATATCTAGAAAAACAATATTTTTGCTTTTGAAATTCAAATCTCACCTAGTATCAGAGCTCTCAGCGTACAATATTGCCAAACATTCAGGACACACCCAACTCCTTTCCATATCAATATTTTTCCGTTCATTACTTGATAGACACTTGTAGTGATAAACCCGTGGGCAAACCGTACATTGCATTGGAGGCCTTGTCTTCTCATTTGTGCCCAGTTCTATGGCCCAATGACAACGCCAGCAGTATGGGTCTGTTCGTAGCTTCTTATCACTTTTCTATAGAAGATTTATTTATTTAATTAAAACTTTTTTTAAAGACATCTCTTCCAGGCACCCATAATTAAATATGTTTATAAAGTTTATTGGCATTTGCTATTATTGACTTAGCAGGTGTTTTGGATTTCATTTCTAATAAAAAGTTTATGGTGTAGATTCCACAAAAAAATTACCAACAATCAGACAGAATTGTACTGAGACATCTACTTGGCTGTTAAAACTTCATCAGTCAATATTTTATACATATATGTATTTTCAAATGTTTCGAGTAGTTATTATATTGAGTATTAGATAAAACAACAGTGTAAAATATAGAAATTAAAAATAGAGTATTACAAAAAAATAAATACTAGGTGTGAAGGATTGTTGCCATCAATCTTTCACATCAATTTAGTAGTGTTTTAATTTTAATATAAATAAGTATAACTTACAATAAGTGGACCTTCTGGAAATCTCCTCTTTTTCTGAGAAGGTGATTTTTCATTTAACTCTTTCTTTGCCTCATCTTTCAGGTCATCATCATAATCATTGTTTTTGCCAACTACAGAGTTTAGAAATTGCTTAACCTTATTCACAAATTCTGGGTTCTGTGACCGCATAGATCTTTTGACAGCTTTTTCTGACTTTTCACTATGGTTACTCTTCATTGATGCATTACTATTACGTCGGGGGGTTATTTTCTCTGTTTCCACAGAGGTGTTCAACTCCAACGGTGTTCTAGACTTCCGTGTCTTGCTTGTGAGTTGAGTACATTCACTTATTATCTTTGATTCCTTTGCAGACTTAATGAGAGACTTAAGTTCTCGACTTATACTTTTATTATGCTCTTTTTCACTTACATCAGAGTTGGCATCTAGCTGGGAGTCATTAGATTTATCACAGTTATCTATGGGAGGTTTAAAAGACACAGTCTCTTTTTGATTTTCATTTGGGGCAATTGTCCCAGAAGAATCAGTTAATTCTTCTGTGTTTGTAGTATCTGTGGATATAGCTATATCCTCAGAAGAGGTAGCAATAGGTGGTTCTTGTACAGTCTGTGCTTCATTCCCAGTTTCCTTGACTGATGTTTCATTCAGGTCTATAACTTTTTCCAGCTCCTTGCACGGAGACAATGCTTTAGAAGAGGAATCAACAATTTGGTCTGAAACCTTTGTTGGAGTAGTCTTAAGACTTTGGTTCTTCTCATCTTTTGGTGAAGTAATAACAATTTTTATAGTTTCCTTCCTTGGTGTAGTTTTAGTTGGAGTTGCAACTTCAATTCTATCAGTTTCTTTTGTGGGAGATATAGTTATGGGTGAATTAACGGTAATAATAGGAGATGAACTTTCTTTTCTTGGTGTCACTGCCTCTTTTCGAGTGGAATTTATTTTGTGAGGTGATTCCTTACTAATAGGGGATTTCTCTACCACAGAAGGTTCTACTGACACCATAGTGGCATCAGTCTCCTTACCTTCTGCAGATGATTGAGGTGGAGTTGTGTTTTCATCTTCTTCTGGTGTCTCAATCTTTTCAATAGTAATAACCATCTCCACATTACCATTTGAGCCTGAAATTTCCTGTATCTCAGGCACATCAGCAGTAGTTGAAGACACATCTGTGTCTCTATTGGCATCTGTGATATCCTCCATGATCTGAATAAAGAAAATACAAATAGATACAATATTTATGAACACATTGGAAGAATAAAGAAACAGATGATGCGTTAATTTTCTATATAGAAGTAAATGAGTGAATTACAGCAACGGCGCTAAACCGAGTAGTTTAAAGTTGATATTGGTGCAATTTTGGTTATGAAAAAAAACAGCTTTTCACCGTTTCCTGGAAAGTAAATGTCAAGACAGTATTATTCATTAGTTAAATAACTACTAAAACAGCCGGTCATTGCCAACTATAATCATTCAGGTAGCCTGCCTACTTTCAACACAATCACAAATAGATATAGGTAACGTAAGAATCTCACGTTTTATTATCCTTGCAAAACAACCCCGCCACTACTTTAAGATTTTTAATTACGGTATTTATAGGTTCCTTCGATCCATTTATTATTTAGTTATGAACAGTTTCCCACATTCAATTCAATAAAACAATTGAAAGAATTTACACATTGCGTTATGCCTTCTCAAACTGTCGTATGTTGTACTTTTCTAAAGTTGTTTGATGTTTCTGCTAAGGTACCTGTAGATGGAGCTAAAGGGCAGCCAAACAGCATACGAAACGAAATATAACTATCTCTTTCAGATCCTTTACAAAAGTATAAGGTTGTCTCTATAAATGCACATACTGTTAAATGTAAATTTCACGGATAAGTTTATCTCATTTTAATATAGGACATCTCCTTCTGATCACAACATACTGAGTACTGACAAAACAAAATCGAACCAGAGCAATGATGTATTGGTTCAAACGAGTTATCTTTAATTTTATTTAAATAAAAAAATTCACAATGTTTGAATCAGCAAATCAATGTAAGAACTGACAGTTCACAGCTGACACTTGCGATTTGACAATAAATTGGGGTGGGCGGAGGGTGGCTGAGACGATTGACGAATCAACAATCAAAAAACACGCCAACGTAATCCTTGTGTGTCATTTCTTTAAAGTGTAATAAGTAATAACTCTTGCTTCTAAACTCTAAAGCTCTAAGCTGAAACCACAAGGCTCCAAACGTTGTTAAAACTTAAAAATAATAAATGCGTTGATGTATAGAAAAACAAGTTAGTTTAAAGCTTTTCGATGGAATTTATCGAGCTTATCCTTATCAATAAGCTTGATGGAGTTACATTAAAATATCCACATCATGATAACGTAGATGGAACAGTATGTATAACAGGACACCACCTGATTTTAAGTTCAAGAAAAGAAGGCGTTCGAGAGCTATGGGTAATTATATTTATTTGGTAATTATATTTATTTATTAAGCTTAATTTTTTTCCTTTTCTACAATATTTACAAATGATACACGCTTACCTACATTTATACAAAACTAACTATTTTTTAAGGAACTCTTAAAGCGTAAACTTCATTATTGTAGTGAATTATTCCCGAAAATCTTATAAAACAGTATTTTCCATCAATATATTTGTATTTTTCAGCTACTTCACAAAAACATAGATAGCATAGAGAAAAAAGAATATAAAGTAAGTGGAGGTGTTGTACAAGGAGGATCACTATTTTTAAAATGTAAAGATCTTAGGATATTTCAGTTAGATATTAGCAACTCGATGGAACTTAATCTGGTTGCACAAACCTTGGAGAATTTATCTAGTATACAGGACCCTAGTCTTTTTTATCCATTTTTTTATCGTCACATGCATCCTGTTATGGAAAATGGATACACTTTATATAGGTAATATGTCACTAATTTTACATAATATAGGGGAAGGTCGGGACCCTTCGTACGGTTTTCACATTTTATTTTTTTATTTTTTTCTTTTTCCATGAATCAATCATCTGCAAGCTTAAATTTACAGTCTAACTATCTGAGATTCTTATAAGAAAATGACAATTGATTTCATCTGATGGTTTAACCATAATTATGATTTAAACTAAATCTGGAAAACGTACGAATCTGCCCCATCAACGGGGCACCTTCGTACAGTGTTGGGGGTACATTCGTACGCTGTGGGGTAGTTCCGTACGTGCGATTAAAGCGACAAATATAAATCAAAATTCATTTATTAGCAATGAAATTAAACACAAAAATAAAGATTTAACTTCTATTAAACAAAAATAAAATACTTTTCTTATAGTGAACAAAAATTACATAGCTTTTCTTAAGAAAAACAAATTTTAATTAGTTAGGTATCTTAATATTTAGAATCACATTTTTTAATCTTAGGTGCGGATTAGCACTTCTTATTTTCGGGTGTGGCAGTATAAATTCGTGGTTTTGGCCGTCGTCGTCATTTTGTTTGTTTTATTACTTCTTACAACATGCGGATAGGGTCGAAACGCTTCTGGTGTCAAAACTGACTACTATTTGATGGATTGGTAAATTATTTAAAGCATCTGGTTCACAGGCATCAAAATCAACCTTAATAAAGATAATAAAAATAGGTATTAATATATATTTACATAGACGATAGAAATGATAGCAACACAGGACAAAGTTAATGCAAATATTAGCAATTAGCACACTAACACAATCTTTCCTACCTACCAGAGGGTTTAGTCAAGATGCCTTATTATTATTTGTATGTAGCAAGTCGAAAACTTAATTTGTATGAAAATGACAGTTCGTGTCGACAAAATATTTTCATAGAAATTTAGTTGTACAATTCGTTCAAATGTGCCCCATCTAGTGCTGTCCGAAAGTACCCCACTAAATGAATAACAACAAAATATAACTTGTTTTAATATTAATAGGAAACCGTCATAAACTAAGTATTGGAGACGTATCTTAAGTATATTTTGCTAGTTACTGATAGAATACTCTACACGAAAACTTATTTTATCTACGGTAACAAGAGACAAAAACATTGATCAAAAAATTACTTACCGAGCGCGAAAACATGTCCATGCCTGTAACTTCACTCTCATCGGTGCGAATTTCGCGAAACTTCGTTGATGTATAGTTGGTACCTGGACTCATGCACACATACAAAAACAAGACTGTACTTTGTTTCGTTAAAGTTTTATTTTGACTTTATGAATGTGCCCCGCGTACGAAGGGTAACGATCTTCCCCTATATTGTATCAAATTTAAGGGTTTTATGGGAGTTCGTATATGTGTTCAAAGTCTGAGTTTCAATAAAGTATGATAGCATTTAAATCCCATTAAACGGTAGTCTTATTATAAAATAGAATTCATGATAACATCAAAGTTATACCATAATTGAAAATAAAATGTAGTGCTTAAAAGAAATACATAAAAGTTGTTAAGTTTATATAATATTTTTATGATCATGAAACAGATACAGAAATCTGAGGCCCAGATCTAAAAAGGCTGTAACACCATTGATTTATTTATTTATTTTTAATGACTTTTATGTCAGTGTAAATTGATAATAATAATGGATTGATATAATTTTAAAAATACATAAACAGTTACCATGGTAACAAGAGAACCCTGTGATTATTTGTTAGGCTTCAAGGACCTGAAAATGCTATATTTTAAAAATATTATTTTCAGCATTGAAGGAGAGTTCACAAAAGTATTAGCAACAGAAGAATGGCGTATTTCTCGTGTAAATCAACATTATACAGTTTCACCTAGTTATGCACAATCTGTGGTTGTACCAAAGGTTATTGATGATGAAACATTGTTGGCTGCAGCAAGCTTCAGACAAGGTGGACGGTTTCCAGTTCTCTCCTACAGACATAATAATGGGGTTTGTTGCTTTATTACACCCTTAAAATACTAATTACTTTTGTATTAAGTTAGAAAGATGATAAGGCTAAATAAAAGCAAAAGGAATTTGGAAAATGATGTAGGCAATTGGTAATATTTTATAATTTTCATACTCTATTCTGTAACAGGGGTTAAACAGGCAGGAGGCTCATCTGATGTTAAGTGAGACTGCCGCCCATGGACACTCACATTGCCAGAGGGCTCGCAAGTATGTTGCCGGCCTTTTAAATATTTGGTACTCATTCCTTGGACCCTTTCTCTATTTTCTTGTTTACCGGTATAACAAATGCAATTATAAAATCACAGGCAGTATTATTAAGAGCTGGCCAGCCTCTCTATGGACCAAAGCACAGGAGATGCAAACCGGATGAACAGCTTTTGAATTCTGTTGTCAATGTCGGTATGAAGGGGATTATCTATGACTTAAGGAGCTCTAACTTAATATCCCAACAACAAAATAAAGGTATTATAAGTTTTAACCATTGATTTTATGAGTTTAATGCCTAATAATGAAATTATATATTCCTAGTGTTCATTTTAATACAAACTCCGCATGTAGTGAAGTAAGCATAAGTAGGACATACGGGATTGGAGTGGAGGAGGATGTGCAGGAGCTGAAAGCCAGCAATTGGCAGAAGGTAGCACAGGGCAGGCCCAAAAAGTCTACATGTATCATAGAAGGCTCATCACCTACTTGCCTATTAAGAAACAGATACAGGAAACTGAGGCGGAGTTGTAACGCTAGTGGTTTTATTTTTAAATTGATATATGTTAATTTCAGGTGGCGGAACGGAGAGTGCAGCAAATTACTCCCAATGGAGAATTTACAATCGGTCAATGGACGACGTGGATAACCAACAACAATTATTGGAAAGTTTTTCTAAACTGATTGAGGGTGAGTTAGAAAATTACTAAATAATATTAAAGGATACAAATCATTATTTTCAATTATTAATCAATGTTGAAGAAAAACAGTAATTACTCTAAATGACTTGATTCTACTTAAAATTACTAATTTATATTGAAGAAGAAAAATAATTACTGACTATTATAAAAGAAAGAAGGAATTACTAAAAATTAAATTAATATTAAATAATAAAAGTACATACATTTACTAGCAGGCTATGGTCATCATCGATTCGTCTAATCTGTGACCATTTTGTGTCACTGTCACGTGACTGACTTGTCTATATTTTTAATTATGGATTTTTAAAATTATTTCAATCTAAAACACTTTTTTATTATTATATACAGATTACTCTTAATTACACTTTATTTTTCATACTTACAAATAGCCAGGGCAATCAGCGGCCTTATCAAGTAATTATAGCTGATAGATGACAGACCACTGGTACAGTTAAAATTGTGTATGTTCCAGCCTGTATGGATAAGGAGATATCCTGTGACAAATGGATGTCGCGTTTGGAATCGTCCGGTTGGGCGGAATCGGTGCGGAATTCTTTGCACACGGCCTGCATAATCGCACAACATATACACCATGTATGTATTAAGTTTGATGTTGAATACCTGCCCTTATATTTTTTATAGAGCAGGGCTCATCTGTTGTTAAGTGATACCATGGACACTAGGCTAGAAGGTTTGCGAGTGCGTTGCCGACCTATTAAAACGCCCTTTTGATGGATTTTTTTTACAGAAAGGTGAACCAGTGTTAATACACGGAACGCGAGGCGAAGATGCTACATTACTTGTGTGTTCGTTGGTTCAAATAATTTTGAACCCAGATTGTAGGACCATAAGAGGGTAAGGATGTTTATTTTTACACTTTGTCTATGAAATTGTCTAAAATTTGTCTATGACTACCATAAGCTAAAAATTGTCTATGAATACTATAAGATAACAATTGTCTATGAATACCATGAGCTAACAATAGTCTATGAGTATTAAGTCAATCTTACCCAGGCCGTAAATCTTTTTAAAAAAGTTACTCTTGACGTTTTTTTTTTCTAGAAGATCGGGCAAACGGGCAGGAGGCTCACCTGGTGGTAAGTGATAACGCCGCCCATGGACACTCAATGAGTGAGCCAGAAGGCTCGTGAGTGCGTTGCCGGCCTTTTAAGAATAGGTACGCTCTTTTCTTGACGGCTCTTTAATTGACGTTTTAGAAACATGTAAAGTTGTCTTTTCTATATATTTTTGTTTACGTGAATCTTTCTGGTATTTGTAATAGTTCTAAGCGAAGGCGAATCTAATGAAAATTTATCAAAATCGGTCCAGACAGTCTCGAGTTTAGCAATTCATTTAAACACAGTAATGAATTATTAATGAATGTGTTGGTAGATAACAACTGGCCCGACTTCGACCTTTTAGCTATGATTCTATATTGTCTATGTATAAAAATAATAATTATTGTCAGGCCATAAAATCAAAGAATAAAAAATAATTGACATTGTCACATTCACTTTTGAGGCAATTAATTTTTAAGTTAATAAATTAATTCTAACAGAATGCGAAATATATGACGAAAAACATATTACATTTCATAAAAAAAGGGTGCGTGTACTTACGTACGAGCGTAAGAAGTTATACTTCTTTGGCATTATTAAAAATAGTTTTTGATTGCATGTAAATAATTAATTACAATTAAATAATCAAAGACTGGAAAAGGAGTCATTATAGTCAATAAAGTTCAGTTTACATTTGAAAAATTAAATAAATAATTATTAATTATTATTCTCTTACATTAAGTGTAACATAAATTTTATTATTATTCGAATGTTGTTTTTAAATTATGTCCAATGCCGTAGCATCTTCCGTGGGCAACTTCATTCTGTTAATTTTGTGTCACGGTGCGCGCGCATCGTAAAATTTCACTCTCATCAATGTTTCATAACGCGCCTAAAGTATAACTTCAAAAAGTCTTAGCAAATGTCCATTTAAGCTTCAACTGCGTTATTGTTGGCCATAGTTGAAATATGAACTCGTGGTTTTCGTGACATGATAAATGTATTTATAATAACTTTGATACTTCCCAATTAAATAAATCCTAAGGTGTCTAAACAAACGTGAAATTCCAGAAATAACACTATTCCGAGTTGCAGATACTATTAACGCAGTTAAATTGTCGATGCCAGTCTTAATGCTAACTGTCAAAGAAACTTCAATTTTTATTTGATTAGTTTTAGTCCTTTGCCTTTAAAACAAAAAAAATATGTTATCATGGAATATAAGATACAGATATCACTTATTCCACGTCATAAATTTGAATCTGTAGGCATCCCTAGAAGACAGAGGGTATAGGCCGAGAGAAAAAGCCGGCTTAAAAAACTCTCGGTACTCTTTTAAAATAGCAAATCATCAAACAACACTTTCCCATTAGGGATAAATTAATATCATCATCATTGATTAGTTTTACAATTTTCGGACAAAAAAGAAAAAACGTTTAAAAAAGGACCGCGAATTTATGACATTGCTTGACGTTTTTAACTTCTTGTGCAATTGACTAAGTCTGTCTCTTTTTATCACATCGTGAACACAATTTGATAGAACGAGACGAACAGATTTGGTTTAAGGTCTGTGGTTTCTATCACAGCGTGAATACGATTTGATAAAATGGGACAACAGATTTGGTTTAAGGACTAAAGTCTGTTCGTCTCTTTTTATCACATCGTGAACACAATTTGATAAAACGAGACGAACAGATTTGGTTTAAGGCCTGTGGTTTCTATCACAGCGTGAATACGATTTGATAAAATGGGACAACAGATTTGGTTTAAGGACTAAAGTCTGTTCGTCTCTTTTTATCACAGCGTGAACATAATTTGACAGAAAGAGATGTATATATTTTGTTAATTCAATAGATTCGAATAATTTTCAGTTTGCAAGCGCTAATAGAACGTGAATGGCTCCAAGCTGGTCACCCATTCGGGTCTCGTTTACGTTGTGGCCCCTACTCTAGCCAATCCAGGGCTGCGCCAACGTTTTCACTATTCCTGGACTGTGTCAGGCAGTTCCTGGAGCAGTTTCCGTGCAGTTTCGAATATCGGCAATCTTTTCTCATCGCATTGTTTGAGCATTCTTACGCAAGTCAATTTGGTGAGTATTTTTGACATGTTCTTTATACACTGGTCAACAAGAAGAAACTATAAACAATGCGGTATTTTTATTTAATTTAAAATATCTACTAAGAACGACAGATATTTTTAAATGTTAGTAAAATATGTAAATATTAAATATCTTAATTTATTGAAGTTATACTTCTTTTGGCGCGTTAGGGAAAAATGATGAGAATAAATTTTTATGATGCGCGAGCACACTGTCACAAAAAACCAACACCCTGAAATTAGCTATTAACTATTGATGCTGTATTTGTACGATATTTAGACAATGTTTCTACAAGAATATTTGTATCATACTTTAGCTGTCATAAGCCTCTTGTAACTCACATCAAATAAACTCCAACCAATGGACGTGAATTAAATAGTAAATATCGATATGTATATCTTGCATTAAATAAAAAATGTCCATTTCTTTAATTATGTAGAAATATTTTGTCTATGATATTTAAATAAACTTTAATTAACTAGATAATGCGTTATAATAAAACTTTCAATGTATTAAATGCCTTTTTTCTATTGTTAGTGTCGTTTTTTCTGCAAACGAAAATGTACGAAATACGAAAGATAAAAATTTTAAAAAGATTCTTTTCGTTTAATTTTAGGATTCATAATTTTTCTGTAACACGCCAAAAGAGGTATAACTTCAAAAACAAAAGAAAAGAGTGCGTGTACTTATGTACGCGCGTAAGAAGTTATACTTCTTTGGCATTATTAAAAATAGTTTTTGATTGCATGCAAATAATTAATTACAATTAAATAATCAAAGACTGGACGTCATTATAGGTCAATAAAGTTCAGTTTACATTTGAAAAATTAAATAAATAAATATTTATTATTATTCTCTTACATTAAGTGTAACATAAATTCTATTATTATTCGAATGTTGTTTTTAAATTATGTCCAATGCCGTAGCATCTTCCGTGGGCAACTTCATTCTGTTAATTTTGTGTCACGGTGCGCGCGCATCGTAAAATTTCACTCTCATCAATTTTTCATAACGCATAAAGAAATATAACTTCAAAAATATGTTTTTTTAATTTTTGAGGCATTTTTCGATTTCAGGTACATTCCTCTGTGATAGCGACCAAGAGCGATCAACACGCGGTGTCTATAGACAGACAACCAGCCTATGGTCTTTTGTGAACCAGCCTGATGAGATCTGTGCCTATATCAACCCTTTGTACGACCCTACTCCGAGTGTTATATGGCCATCCGTTGCGCCCATGAGCTACGTTATTTGGGAAGGTAATGAAAAAATATCCACGATTTAGCGTTTCTAAAGGCAGTTTTTGGAACCTGAAGTACTGAAGTATTGCCAATCCAATTCGACTTAGGGTCCTTCAAGAAGAGAGCGTATCAATTCTTAAAAGACCGGAAACGCAATTGCGAGCCTTCTGGCAATGTGAGTGTCCATGGGCGGCGGTATCACTTAAAATCAGATGAGCTTCCTGCCTTCTGTTACATAAAAAGAAATAACACTTAGGGTCCTTCAAGAAGAGAGCGTACCAATTCTTAAAAGCCCGGAAACGCAATTGCGAGCCTTCTGGCAATGTGAGTGTCCATGGGCGGCGGTATCACTTAAAATCAGATGAGCTTCCTGCCTTCTGTTACATAAAAAGAAATTACACTTAGGGTCCTTCAAGAAGAGAGCGTACCAATTCTTAAAAGCCCGGAAACGCAATTGCGAGCCTTCTGGCAATGTGAGTGTCCATGGGCGGCGGTATCACTTAAAATCAGATGAGCTTCCTGCCTTCTGTTACATAAAAAGAAATTACACTTAGGGTCCTTCAAGAAGAGAGCGTACCAATTCTTAAAAGCCCGGAAACGCAATTGCGAGCCTGCTGGCAATGTGAGTGTCCATGGGCGGCGGTATCACTTAAAATCAGATGAGCTTCCTGCCTTCTGTTACATAAAAAGAAATTACACTTAGGGTCCTTCAAGAAGAGAGCGTACCAATTCTTAAAAGCCCGGAAACGCAATTGCGAGCCTGCTGGCAATGTGAGTGTCCATGGGCGGCGGTATCACTTAACATCAGATGAGCTTTCTGCCATCTGTTATATAAAAAGAAATTACACTTAGGGTCCTTCAAGAAGAGAGCGTACCAATTCTTAAAAGCCCGGAAACGCAATTGCGAGCCTGCTGGCAATGTGAGTGTCCATGGGCGGCGGTATCACTTAACATCAGATGAGCTTTCTGCCATCTGTTATATAAAAAGAAATTACACTTAGGGTCCTTCAAAAAGAGAGCGTACCAATTCTTAAAAGCCCGGAAACGCAATTGCGAGCCTTCTGGCAATGTGAGTGTCCATGGGCGGCGGTATCACTTAAAATCAGATGAGCTTCCTGCCTTCTGTTACATAAAAAGAAATTACACTTAGGGTCCTTCAAGAAGAGAGCGTACCAATTCTTAAAAGCCCGGAAACGCAATTGCGAGCCTGCTGGCAATGTGAGTGTCCATGGGCGGCGGTATCACTTAAAATCAGATGAGCTTCCTGCCTTCTGTTACATAAAAAGAAATTACACTTAGGGTCCTTCAAGAAGAGAGCGTACCAATTCTTAAAAGCCCGGAAACGCAATTGCGAGCCTGCTGGCAATGTGAGTGTCCATGGGCGGCGGTATCACTTAACATCAGATGAGCTTTCTGCCATCTGTTATATAAAAAGAAATTACACTTAGGGTCCTTCAAGAAGAGAGCGTACCAATTCTTAAAAGCCCGGAAACGCAATTGCGAGCCTGCTGGCAATGTGAGTGTCCATGGGCGGCGGTATCACTTAACATCAGATGAGCTTTCTGCCTTCTGTTACATAAAAAGAAATTACACTTAGGGTCCTTCAAGAAGAGGGCGTACCAATTCTTAAAAGCCCGGAAACGCAATTGCGAGCCTGCTGGCAATGTGAGTGTCCATGGGCGGCGGTATCACTTAACATCAGATGAGCTTCCTGCCTTCTGTTACATAAAAAGAAATTACACTTAGGGTCCTTCAAGAAGAGAGCGTACCAATTCTTAAAACCCGGAAACGCAATTGCGAGCCTGCTGGCAATGTGAGTGTCCATGGGCGGCGGTATCACTTAACATCAGATGAGCTTCCTGCCTTCTGTTACATAAAAAGAAATTACACTTAGGGTCCTTCAAGAAGAGAGCGTACCAATTCTTAAAAGCCCGGAAACGCAATTGCGAGCCTGCTGGCAATGTGAGTGTCCATGGGCGGCGGTATCACTTAACATCAGATGAGCTTCCTGCCTTCTGTTACATAAAAAAGAAATTACACTTAGGGTCCTTCAAGAAGAGAGCGTACCAATTCTTAAAACCCGGAAACGCAATTGCGAGCCTGCTGGCAATGTGAGTGTCCATGGGCGGCGGTATCACTTAACATCAGATGAGCTTCCTGCCTTCTGTTACATAAAAAGAAATTACACTTAGGGTCCTTCAAGAAGAGAGCGTACCAATTCTTAAAAGCCCGGAAACGCAATTGCGAGCCTGCTGGCAATGTGAGTGTCCATGGGCGGCGGTATCACTTAACATCAGATGAGCTTCCTGCCTTCTGTTACATAAAAAGAAATTACACTTAGGGTCCTTCAAGAAGAGAGCGTACCAATTCTTAAAAGCCCGGAAACGCAATTGCGAGCCTGCTGGCAATGTGAGTGTCCATGGGCGGCGGTATCACTTAACATCAGATGAGCTTCCTGCCTTCTGTTACATAAAAAGAAATTACACTTAGGGTCCTTCAAGAAGAGAGCGTACCAATTCTTAAAAGCCCGGAAACGCAATTGCGAGCCTGCTGGCAATGTGAGTGTCCATGGGCGGCGGTATCACTTAACATCAGATGAGCTTTCTGCCATCTGTTATATAAAAAAAATCGACTTAGGTTCCTTCAAGAAGAGAGCGTACTCGGTACACGTACGTAATTCTTGAAAGGCAGGCGACGCTCTTGCGAGCCTTCTGTATCACTTACCCGTTTGCACCCTGTTTAAACAAACAATCAAATAATCCATAGAACGCATAACTGACACATTGACATTGACAGTTACCTGTAGGATGTCTATGGAGTTGCGTGGTGTTGCCATTTTAATAAAGTTCTTTTGTGGGAAGTATAATTTGAAAAATTGTTTTCTTCAGAGCTGTACCTCCGTTGGCTGGTCCCCCAAAGGACGGAAGAACGCGAAGAACAGTACAAGGTGATTCGGACCAGGGAACAGCATTTGCGGTCACAGGCCCAACAACTTCGGAGGGAGTTGATGGACTTGGGCCGTAGGTATTATAATTTAGATAATTAATTTGTTATCATATCTTTAATTAATATTTTTTAATGGTAATAATACTTTGTAAAAATACACTTATTTGATTGAAGAGCAGTGTTGGCCTGGTGGCCTTGCGACCCTCATGATGGTTCCAGTCAAATTAAACCAAAATAATTTATTCATTTAGGTAACATAATATGAACGCCAAAAAGAAATACGTATTAAATTTTTAATTTTACATTTACTGCCAGTTCTCAAATCAAGGGCGTAGAACGGAAAAGAAGAACTGCCAATAAACTCTCCGCCACTCTTTTTAATCGCCATGTTTTTTGTTTTACACAATGTAAGGAGCTGCAACCATTACACCATGTTCCACATGACATCTTAAGTAATTAATAATAATAAAATAAAAAACAAAAGATTTGTCCTCTATCAGCAGTTGTCATGGTGAAATAGGAGCACGCACTTACATTCTCGTGGGAACAACACGCAAACACATAGTCGAAATAATTAACATCACCGCATACACGAATTCAAGTACGACCAGTCACAAGTCCAGTTCTGGCTTTGCAATGGAATTTTCTTTCTATATACGATAACATTCAAACTCAAAATAACTTTATTCATAAGTAATCAAGTACACTTATGAACGTCAACAGAAAAGATATTAAATTGATTCTAAATTTACATTATGACGACTCATTGGTCTAGTGGTTAGTAGCCCTGACTGCGAATCCATGGGTCCCGGGTTCGATTCCCGGCTGAGACAAACATCGATGTGATGAGCATTTGGTGTTGTGCTTAGGTCTTGGGTGTAAATATGTATTTATATGTCTATCTATCTATAATATGTATGTATATCCGTTGCCTAGTACCCATAACACAAGTTTCACCAGCTTAGCATGGGACTAGGTCAATTGGTGTGAATTGTCTAAAAAAAAAAAATATAACCAGTTCGCAAGTCAAGGGCGTAGAGCAGGTAAGAAGAACTGGCAAGAAACTTTCCGCCACTCTTTTTAATCGCCAAGTTTTGAGTCATACAAATTGTTTGAACTGGAGCAAATCCCAAGGATTAGGATCATTTAAATATTAGTCAAATTATAAAAAGCTTTATAGATTAATTTGAAGGCATTCATCGTGATGCCGGCATTAGACCAAGAGCCGATCCTACTTAAAAACGTCACGAAGATGTGCAGCGTTTTTGTCGAACAAAGGGAGAGAGCGATTGAGACCGATTGAGAGAGAGTGAGAAGGGCGAAAAGGGCAAATAATAAATTTAATTTTTTAAATTTATTTCTTCGATAATAAAACACTTGGCATTTTAATTTACAATTCGTCATTTGAGATTTCAATAAATTATTTTGCATAAAATATAAAATACTAATATTTCATAAATTCTATTTACGAAATTTTAATTTTAAAAATAGGTTTCTATAAGGTAATTCACCCTTCTCACTCTCTCTCAATAGGTCTCAATCGCTCTCTCCCTTTTCTTCGACAAAAACGCTGCACATCTTCGTGACGTTCCGTAAAAATTTTACCCTCATGCGCCTAAAGAAGTTTCACTTCAAAATTTAGTGGTGCTACAACTCTAAGTTTCATGATAATTTCTCAATCTAATAGGAGAGTAGGTAGTCTCCAGTGCCTGACTCATGTTGACTTTTTGGGTCTAAGGCAAGCCGGTTTCCTCACGATGTTTTCCTTCACCGTTCGAGCGAATGTTAAATGCACACATAGAAAGTCCATTGGTGCACAGGGGATCAAACCCACGACCTCAGGGATGAGAGTCGCACGCTGAAGCCACTAGGCCAACACTGCTCCAAATAATGATTTGTGACAAAAAATTTAATGACTGTGAAACTCTCTTGTTCATCATGACTTAATTAGAATAAAATATATAAGGTACAAATATAATTGTGAAGCCTTTAATAAAAATATATTATTGTCTATGGGTAAAGCTAGAAAAGTTCAATTACCGGCGGATATTTGTTTTATTATGCCTTACGCTGGCCATTGACGGACCGCATGTTGCAGTCGATACCGACTGCTCTAAGCGGTGGCCGCACGGCGATCTGCAGTTTCCATACTATATTCATATCCGCAATACACGGACCGCACGACCAGTTTCTGAGCGGTCGGAGCAGTCGCTCTGCGGTCGAGTTTCGCCGTGCGGTCGACTGCTTAGAGCTGCCGGACCCACCATACACGGACAGCTACAAGCGGTTTCTGCCGACCGCGCGCCTCTCCCTCAAATAAAATACTATTATTCATCAAATGAAACCACGGACATTCTAAAGAAGTTGAAAAACTTTTTCTCTCAGCTGGGGATACAAAGTATAAGGCTATGTTCACATGTAACGCGCGTTAACGCGCGTCAACGCGCGATCAAATTTTAAGAGCGTTCAGATGATGAGCGCTAACGCGCGTTGCGAGAGTACTCGTCAGTCTAGTTCGGTAGAACGTAGAAAATGGACGTGGAAGAGGCTATTATTTTGTGGTTATTTTATAAAGAAAAATATAGAAAAAGAAAACGTACACATTGGGTTCATCCAATTTTGAAAAAAAAAATACAAATTATATTATATTTTTTATACAAATTTGCTATATTCCAACTTGCTGGCCTTTTTTCTACTTCATCGATTAGTAAGTCGATGTCAATATCTTCAATTTCACTCATTTTAAATGCGAGAACAAAATATAATTACGAAAATTAACAAAATTACATGCGATCGCGATGAAAGCGCGCGCTCATCTGAACAGCAAACGGACATTACATTAATATCAAAGCGCGCGTCAACGCGCGATCACCTGCGTCTAGAGACTTTTTCTCTGAGCGCCGCGTTGACGCGCGTTAACGCGCGTTGACGCGCGCTCATGTGAACAGTTGTATGAAAATACCACAATGTCTAGTCGCGCGATTTGAAAACGCGCGTCAAGTTTTTGCCATCTGAACATAGCCTGAAATATTCCATGCTGTTCTGTTGATTGTAGTATTGGACGCACCCACATACTACGGTGTCTTCTACGCCTACGCTCGCGTAATAATAGTATAAGTAGCAGTGTTTCTTCATCGAAATCCATCTTGTAAATGAACTCGCATCAGTATTATTTTGCGGTCGAACACAACTGCTCCAAGCAGCACTGCTCGACTGCACTATGCGGTCGTGTTGCAGTCGTGTACGACTTCAACGCGACCGCTCTAGAGCAGTCGGTCTCGACTGCAACATGCAGTCCGTCTATGGCCAGCTTTACTCATTCCATTATCGATAGTTTTGTAAACATATAACCTTTTTGTATTTTATTAATGGACGCAAAAATGTCTGCCCTATCAGCGTCAATTTATGTAAAAAAAGTTGTCTAATTTATATTTATATACTTCGACTTAAATACTTAGCAAATAAAAGATTATTGTATTAGTTTAAGAAATAATACAGCGGCTTTAATTGGGGCCTAAGTTTGTTTAAGTGTGTAATTTAAGTAGAATTATTGTCAATTATATATTTGCATTTAATATGTTTTAATTATTAATCCCTTTTTATATAATGAAAGGCGGGTACAGAGCAGTCATAATACAGAGAGCTGTTTTAAATCGGCGTTAAGGAATTAAATGTATATATAGTACTTAATTTGTATATATAATACTAGCCGTTTCCCGCTTTGCTGGGCGAATTAAAATAGGAAATAAATAAAATTTTATGTTTCATTATTTTTTTTTTCTTATTTTTATTATTCTTCTTTTTAACTTCCCGCTAAGAAAATTGAAATTTTTCGAAAATCGAGTTTTTAACAGATTGACGTTTTGAGGTTCTAGGAAGCCTCCCCGAATGTTTCCGAGGGGAAGTCCGTATGTATAAATTTTCATAATAGTAAAACAGCAATTAAAAAATGAAGGAACGTTGGAATTTAATAAATAGCCATAAACCATCTAGGAAAAATTTCGCATTGAATGGCAGTAGTTTCATGTCGATCAGTGGTTTAGGCGTGAAGGAGCCTCAAACGAACCCCATTTTTTATATATATATATACATTTGTATATAGATATTTAGACTTTCGTAAGTACCTATGTGGGTTGTGAAAAAAGCTATTAATTAGTTATCTTACTACTAACATACATATTGTAAACAAAACACTTAGACAATATACAAAGGCCAAACAGATTACATTGATATTATATATATATATACATTTGTATATAGATATTCAGACTTTCGTAAGTACTTATGTTGGTTGTGAAAAAAGCTATTAATTAGTTATCTTACTACTAACATACATATTGTAAACAAAACACTTAGACAATATACAAAGGCCAAACAGATTACATTGATATTTGACAAAAAACAGAAAATGTAAGTACATTAAAAGACAAGGTGAATTTTGTTTAATTTTTAACAAAATAATTTTGCCTGTATATTTTTACCAGGCGCTAGGGGCAATTGTAATAACATTGTTCGATATCTTAATTCCATAATAGGTACAGCATCGAGGTTTGAATACCTAGCAAGAAGCAAATAGGAAGCAAAATATGAACTATGAATTAATCGATAATTCATTGTAGTGAGTACAATAGGATAGGTGACCAGCCATTCTAACGTCAGAATGGACGGTCACTTTGTTATGGTTCTCCCAAGATACTAAGGAAGCAATTGTCTTATAGTAGGTATTAAGTAGAAGCAATTGGGAAGTAATTTTTAAACCACAATTTAACGTTCTACACGACTAGTGACCGTCCATTCTGACGCTCACGATTTTTTTATTGCTTCTTATTAAAGAATTCAGAGACAGTCAAATACTATACATTTACGATCCGATAGTACGTTTATGAATATTATATTGTAGAGTATAAATAGACGTTATTCTATATATACATATTTGCATTTAGTTATATTCACAAAGAAAATGTGTTTATCTCGAGACTATTTTTAATAGCTCGTTCTATCCATAAAAGCTTTCGCTTTAAATAGCGGTTCCCTTGGAAAACAATCTACGATTTAATAAATTCATCAACAGGTTTTAAATCAGTTTAATTAATACAGAAC